TGGCATTTGGGGGGTGATCAAGTGGCATCTGCATCTCTGGTCTAGATGGAGTCATGACAGTGCAGGATGGTAGGCCCTGGATTGCGACTCCTCGATTTGATGATTGCGGTCCAATGGGTCTAGTTGCTGCCGGGGTAGAGAGTGATGAGTGGTGATGACAGTTCAGCTTTGACAGGGTGCGTTTGGCAGGGGATTGCTCCTGTTTCAGGAACAGAGGCAGGTGCAGGAATATCAAAGGACGCGGATGCTTCTTCCGTTTGAGGAATTTGTGGCAACTGCTGACGTGCACTCGTCGGTGGGAGAGATTCGCTTGCTAGGCCAGGAGTTTCTGTCGTTGTGTCCACGGAGGAAGGTTTTGATTCTCCTTGAAAATCCTGTGATCTGGGGTTGGTGGAAGGGGACGGTTGCAAATCGGAGGGCTCTGAAGAAACTTGAGCAAGTACATCAACGTTCGTGGCTTCATTCGTAATAACAGCGGTCGTTTCTGCTTTCAAAACAGCCGCCTCCTTGTCCGGCTGGGTGGATGACGAATCTGCATGTAAGCCTGGTGAGGTCTGCGATACAGGCTTCGTGGACACCAGACCTTCCGTTGATGTAGTTGTAGCTGTATCTTGACTAGAGGAGTTGGGGAGAGATACCTCAAGCGGAGAAAGTAGAGAAGAAGAATCTTCAGTATCAGTCTTAGTGGTGCCAATCACCCCGTTTGAGAGTGGCTGGGGTTGGGTGATCCCATTGCCATTGACTGCAGGTGGCAGCGGCTTGTTTTCATCTGTAGCAGTAGGCTCTTCGATTACCTGTGGCTCAGAAGACATGGTTTCAGAAAGCCTCACAGTAACAGTTTTCGTTTCTAGAACCGGATTGCTACTAGATATTAGGAGGTCAAGGTAGTCAGCTTTATTGAACCTATGGTGTGTTCGCGCATTTCAGGGGCGGCAATAGAACAAGATATAGATATAGACGGGATACATAACAGACAGATACAAGCAAATAAATGGGTGGAGAGAGATTGGCCGCTGAGAAAAGGAGAGCACTCACTGAAATAATTCTGCATCAAGAGAAACGTGGTCAACAACGGGCGGTGGTTGGGTCTTTCTCTCCGGGACAACAGTGTCTGGGGGAGGTGTTGCCATAGTCATCAGTGGTGATCACGTGATATGCGACTTAGGGGGTGAACACGCGTGTTGCCCTCTAAGCCTGGCTATTTCAAGCAGCGCAACGGAAACGAGAGAAAAAGACAAAGTGAGTCGGGCTGCCTTGGATGCGGAGGACAGACAGGAGGACTTTTTAACGCGCCGCGTAGCAAACAGAGCAGACCAAGTTGGAGAATGCGCGACCCTGATAAACTTTGCCGGGAGGGAAGTCCAGGGCAGCCCACAATTTCATTCAGATATTGGTGGACGCCTCCTTGCTTCTTTGGACTAGCCCAGGATCCTAGATTAGACTAGACGAGACGAAGTTCTGGTCAGAGCCATGTATAGGAAATACGTATGTATGAAAGCAGCGGAGAGCAGCAAAAAAGAAAATAAAGTAATATCACGAGATACTGGTTAATAGAAAGGAAACGGGTTGCGAAAAAATAGCTTTTCCCGCAAGTATATTGTCTTTTCTGTTGTGATTGTAGATGATCAAAGTTGCTGTTGATGACGTGGTTGAGGATGAAGATGTCCTTAAATAGGGGGTGGTTGGAGGTACAGAAGTGCCAAAGGGAGGGAAAGCAGGAAAAAGGAAACAGAAAAGGAGAGGTTGGAGAAATACGCGATTTTATATTGCCAAGAAAGTTGACGGGGGAAAGCTTGTGGTCACGTGCGTGTGCAGGTGACTCAGTAGTAGGCGGCGGAAACGGCCAGGTACATACACCACAGCGGATGAGTGAAAGAGGAAGACAGATGATTGGCTAAGAATGAATGAGAGGAGAGGGATCAAAATCGGCGGAACAAAAGGTGAGGCGGAGAATCCCGCTGGAAACCAGATAAGAACAGCGCAAAGAAACCCGTGGATGCCCGGGATCGGGGAGAGGTGAGGGAACTCAGGTTGAAGGGGACGTGCGCGTTAACGTGGGTATTGTGGCAACTGTCAAAGTTGCACAAAAATTATGAAGCCCTCGGAAGATCCAGGGCAGCGGAAAGACAATAATAATACTGTGTGGGGAAGGAATACAGTCACAGGAGTAATCATAGTCATAATATGCTGCTTGGGTCGAAATACAGGCAATAGCCGGTGGCAATAAGGGAGAGAGGAGGGACAATAATACGAACAGGATTGCTAGGCTGACAACCGCAGTGGTGGTCGCAGGCCGCCGTGGAGATAAAACCAAGAGTGAGATTCCAGGGTTGCTGTTGGGTGGCGACGCTGGGGGAGGCGGAGTGAGTCCGTGGCGATGGGCGACAAGTGCGTGACCAGAAGACGCGAGGCGAGGCGAGGCAAGCGAAAAGAGAGACAGAGGAAACAGAGGGGGGGTGCTAGAATCCTTAAGTACGGGCAGACCGCTGGCTGCCAGTCCGTGCCAGGGAACCACAGCAGCCTGTCCCGCTAGCTTCGGATGACGCTGCTAAGGGCGGCGATCCATCCAGCTGGTATTCTGGCCGTGTTGATTGGCTGTTACGCGTCATGCCGGTCTTGGCTCGCCCGCTCATTGGTCCCAGCTTCCTGCCCTTTCCGAATCAAACGCTCTCCATCCCTGTCGATATTCTGTAATTTTATCAGTATTTTTCTGTTTTTGGTATTTCTCCACTTCTTCCTTCCTGTTTGTTCTGGGTCTTAGCGGCATACCGCGTAATTATGCCGCCATACGTCCATCTCGAGACATAACCGAATTTTACAAGTCTTGCCACAGCCACAAAGCTCATTTTATGCTTGATGCGACGCCTGTACGATGGCTGTATTCGCGTATTGATTACTGAATACAATACAGGCAATCCCCTTCCGATATACTCCCATATATACGGCTGTTTTTTTTTTTTTTGGGCACCGACGCATCAATCTCAGAGGGTGATACATGAAATATTAACAACCCCTTACGAGTAGCTTGCAAAAAAATACCCTGGAAAACCCCCAACAAATTTTCGTGGCGTAAATAAGGCTAAACCGTTCATCACGACCAGCCGGGATTTTTTTTTTTTTTTTTTTCCAGTTCAGTACTTCCAGGGCTTAACCCTGATGCTTCTCCGTTCTTGGACAGTGTGGCTTGCTGACGGTGTAAATTTGTTGCCAAATTCGGATTCGTGCCCACACGGGTGCCCGAGGCAGACCAATTGTTGCTTAGCTAATACACAAACAGGCGGATAACTTGGAATGGCCTAATATAACTCTCTAACTAACAACCAGCCCCTAGAGGGTTGGACGCAAATCAGAGGCTCGGAAACTATTTTCCGAGCAACGAACTAGCGAGATATAATTCTATCTCATATATACACATTGAATACTAGTATATATCCCCTTTTCTAGAAATGGCTTTGCAGGATTTCGGGAAGTCAACGAGCAACTAATTTAACCATATCCAATTATTCCACAGACTGGTCGTTTGCAATTCCCCAACGTCAAGAATCATCCAGATCTATCAAGGATGATCCAAACTCTTCTTTCACTAAGATATTTATTCCTCCCACCCCCGTCTCTGTTTGTCCGTGCGTGTCTGCATATTTGCCTGAAACCTACATATGCTCTCGCATAGTTGCACCCACAGCCATCATGCCAAGGTTGACTGAAGCAAAAAGGGTATGACAAAGAAAAAAAAAAAATAGGCAAGAAATGCAGACGGCAGCTAAGCATTGCATGCTCCAATGTCCTCCCGCTGCAGTGTGGCTGCCACGCCACAGTCCAATGAATGCAGATGGATAGCAGATTGATGACATCGACAAAATGCAGGTCTCCTGGGTTCCTTGCTCCCCAAAGGAGTTTTCTTCCATTCTTGCTATCTTCCTTGCTTTTAGTTTTGGAATGGGTGAGCGCATCTAAGTGACTCTTGTTACTGTTAGAGGACTTAGTGATAAGAACAGTGAATGAGGGCTTGTGCACAATGAAAACATCGCCAGGGGGACCGCCTGCGTCATGACACGCCAATAGCGCTGTTTGATTGTTGATTTCTAACATTGCCTAATCGTTCTGTGAGGCAAGAGGAACACCAGGCCCTATGCTGGCTATCAATGAAGAAACCAAGGGGAAACGCTTCAATATACAACAGCGTACAGCACCGGCATTGACGCGCGTATGCCGTATATATGTACAAGCAGCATTGAAGCTACTGAGGTAGGCTCATATGCGTACGATCGCCTACAAGCATGATCGGATCAGGAAGGCCTTGCAAAAGAGTTTAACGTATCTTAACCCTTGTTGGAATATCTACTGCAACTGACCATGGTGCCGACAGAGAGTTACGTGCTTTTGGCGGCTATTCTATCGGTATGAGTCCGCAGAACGTCGTATGCGATGAAAAGGGATATATATATATATATATGTATATGTATATAGGAAATCACCATTCTGGCTTATCTTCTGCTCAACATCCACTCGCTCGTTCCTCACCCCTTTTCATCTGCGAAAAGGAAGCTTCCAGAAAGGAAACAATAGCATCAATGCCCTCTGGTTCCCTTATCCAGTGTCCTCCATTCTCCGGTCCGGAGTGTTCGACCCAATCCACACACATTCCGATCTTGGTTCAATTTTAAAGTGCCCGTCGACCGAGCTCAATGTTAATCCACGCATCGTCCGTTCCATCCAGTATGGAATGGGTGTCAACAACATTCTCTCGATATCAGCTAGTTTAGTTCCGTGAGATTTCTCACATCCGATGAGATGAGGGGATATTCTGAGACCATCCATTTCACCTTTGTTCCACCAGCGACGTCTTCAGGCGGGACATTTTGCTAAAAGTCTTCCTCGTCGGCCATGTTCGCAAATGAACGCCACCCCAACATTCCAAGAACACCCAAATCCACCAATACCCCCTTTGATATGGCCGGATGAACGTAGCGATAGCAACCGATGCCCATAGTGTCGACGTTATGCTCCTACTTGGCCCTTCAAGGATGACCTTTTCAGACTTCCCAACGAGAAGCTCAATCCTCCCCTCTCCTTCTCCCCCCCTCTTCCGAGTCTACGCGACATAGAGCGTGGATTCTTGCAAACCATCATCCACCAGAATATCGTTTTGTTCTTCGTCACTGGGATTTTGCCAGCGAACGCACTTCGAACCAAGATCTCAAGTCTTCTTTGAACGCGCAGCTCCACCGATCTCCGGATGTGTGGAACGCTCATCAACATGCAGGAGAGCTTGTTGCGAAGCTCTTGTTGGTGGAGGATTTGGTATCGAAAAGCTCTTCTCCAAATTCGAGCTGTTACTGTCACGCCCGCAGAAGAGGATGACTGTATATGTATGTTTTGCATTTGGTTCGACGATATGAGGTGCAAAAAATGCCATTTCTCGTCGGTGCCATTTATCCCCCGATCCTTTGCAGGCGGCGGACTTGAAGTAAGATTTTAGGAAATAGCCAATGCAGAGGATCGGTATTTCTATAAATTTCCTGGGTATTTGTAACATATAACATCGTTAGATATTGTGGAAGAGTATGGGTAGTTGAATCGTTCAGCTTGTCATCAGCGAACGAGTCGTCGTCCACTAATAGAAAAAAATATGCATTGGGCCGAGGACCCAGCAAGTGCTTTCTTTCTTTTCTTTTCTTTTCCTCTCTCCATCCTTTAGGAGCTTAAGTTCAAGCATTGATACCCATTTAATCCACTTGTCTGTTGTAGAGCCCTTTCTCAGCCCCAGAATAGCCTTTCTGCCCCTGGGAACACCCGACTAATCGGGTTTAGTGCCTTTCGCAGCCAGCTTTGACATCCTACTTCACGCTAATGCAGATCCGGCCAAGCGCCTTTTTTTTTCCGCATCAACTTTTTTTCACACACGCAAAACAATCCAAGCCCCGGTAGGACATGCGATGGGAGAGCGAGGAAGAGAGAGATAGAGAGAACGATATAATTTCACCGTGCGGGCGGATTTTGCTGTCCATCCCACCCTATCGCTCCGGTCCAACTTCCCGGCAAATTGGCATCCGTCCTCCTCTTCAGACAGAAGACTCCGCTCCATCCTTGCCATTTCCTCTCCGCTCGATTATTAACTACCTCCTTGCCGCTTTCACCCTCAACATATCTAACACCAAACCATGGGGATTAAAAAGGCCTCAAGAGGCCCCGTCTCGAAAATTTCCTCAGCTACAGCCCCCTCAGCATCCCCTCCCACCCTCTCTGCAAATAAATCTTCTATCCTCCGCTCAGCATTCTCCCCATCCGAGTATCAGCTGGCGCTCTTTGCATCCGTCATCCAGGGTCTTGACTCCCAGCACCTCCGCGTCCACGAGATCGGTTCCGGGTGTCTGCAATGCGAGCATGCCGTGAATCCAAGGGAAGCCATCACCTCGCTAGATTGGGGCTTCTATGGCGATCCTCACCACCGAGATCGCGATCAACATATGAAGAAGAAGCGCAAGCGCGGGTCATCCGGTGTAAATGGCATCGCTAATGCTGATGGCGGGAATTCGGGCAATGTGGTTATTGCGTTTGGTACCAGTACGTCTGATATTCGAATGTACTCGCCAGCCGAGGACAGGATTGTTGGAACGCTTTCGGGCGGACATGAGAAGGGCATTAGAGATTTCAAGTTCACGGTGAACACTCCCGCGGCTGAGGGGTGGAGTATTGGTGGTGATGGGAAGCTTGTACAGTGGGATCTAAAAGCTGGCCGAAGTATACGGTAGGCTTGCTTAATTCCTCCTCCTCTTCTTCTTTTTTTCCCCTCCCTCCCACTCTACTTGATCAAATTTTGTTTCGTTTGTCTGACGACATCTTATTTTCTCCAGGGTTATTTCTCTACCATCAGCTTCTGTCTCCGCTCTCGCGCGGCCCGTTCCGTCGAATCCTCCCATTCTTTGCGCCTCTCAAACGCCCTATCTAATAGGCCTTGAGCAGGAAGGCATTGACGGCGTGGTTTCATTTAGTGCTATGAAAAATTCCATACATACACTAATTCCCTCTTCCACAGACATGGGAAATCTCTCAGAGCAATTTCTTGCTTCTGATTCCGACCGTTATATCAACATTTTTGATTTGCAAAAACGGAAAATCTCAAATACGCTAGTCGCTGGGAGCGAAATTGAATGCTTGGCGTTTTATCCGGCCTCTCAGCAGGGTGGTCACGCGGAAAATAATAAGAATTCTACAAGGTCGAATCAGTTGCAAAAACAGCTTCTTGCCGCAATCACGCATAGTGGTGTTATTGAACTTTTTCCTAAACCCTTTCACCAAGTCGAGTCCCTCGGTTCCGCGCACAGTCTGAAACCGCGGGGGAAAGCAATGACACGCCGTGCGGAAGCTGTGATTAAGATCGTCAGACCGGATAAGTCTCGAACAGCGGTGCCTGCCGTTTCGGCTAGCTTCCAGGGCCCGGATCTAGTCGTTGCGTGGGTCGAAGGCGGTGTCAACTTGGTATTTGAAAGAATACGTTGGCAAGACGAGGATACAGAAGAACTGATGTTTCAGGGGGAAAAGGAAATCGTGCGTGGCAAGTCGATATCTATGCTCGGATCCACAATGATGAACGGAGTCAAGCATGTTGGCAGGACACAAGTAGATGAGTCGCATACAGTTGTGGAACAAGGCGGGGCTGCAGAAAACATTCCCCTGGAGGACGAGAGTGAGAAACAGAAAGACAACAACATATCGAACCCCAGTGATGATGACGAAGAAGACTCCAATGAAGAGGATGTAGAAGACGAAATGGAAGCGGAAAAGGAAGAAGCAGAAACGCCCAAAAAGGCATCAGCGTCAATAACATCCCATACACAACAGGAAGACGTCAACATGATGGATGCCGACGCAGAAGAAGGCGGCGAGCCCTCCTTCGGCGAACTCGTCCGCGCCCATGCTGCTGAACCCATCGACGTCGAAGCGGAGCTGGACGACGCAGACGCAGACGCAGACGCAGACACCCACACCCGCGCCCTATCCTCAACAGCCAATAAGCCCAACACCACCCTCCAGCTCCCCGCCGGCATCTCCCTCACCACCGTCCTCTCCCAAGCCCTCAAAACAAGCGACAACACCCTCCTCGAATCCTGCTTCCACACCACAGACATGAACATCGTGCGCGCCACGATCCAGCGCATGGACTCGTCTCTCGCCGCCACCTTGCTCCAGAAGCTTGCTGAGCGTCTCTCCACCCGCCCTGGACGTTACGGCCACCTTCTCGTCTGGGTGCAGTGGACCTGCATCGCCCATGGCGGCTCGATCGCGGGGAGGCCGGAGGTGCTGCGCAAAATGACTGCGCTGTTCAAGGTTATGGACCAGCGGTCGGCGAGCTTGTCGTCGCTCCTGTTGCTGAAAGGGAAGCTCGATATGCTTGATGCGCAGCTGGGGCTTAGGCGGAACCTGCAGCGGACTGCTGGTGCTGGTAGTCGTGGCCGTGGGAGTCATGGTACGGGCGTGCCGGGTTCTGAGGAAGATGACGATGAGGACGTCATTTATGTTGAAGGTGAGGAAGACTTGGTTGATAGCGGGGACGAAGAAAGCGGTGATGTCCGGCGCGTTAAAGGCTCCGCTGCCGCTATTGGTGTGGCTGCAACTGCCGCGAAACGAGGCGTTCTCGGTGCGGATTTCAGTGATGGAGCAGAGGATGAGGAAGATGAGGACATGCCTCTAGCTCTTACCGGGGTGGCATCTGGCGATGATGAGGAGGAGGACGAGGATAAGGATGGCGAAGAGGAAGGGAGTGAAGATGAGGAGGTGGAGCTGTTTGATGACGAGGCGGATGAATCTGAGGATGGAAAAGGGGCTGATGAGGAAGAGGACGACGAAGAAGAGGATGAGGATGAAGATGAAGGAAGTAGTATGGCGGACTTTATAGCGGGTTCTGAGGAAGATGAATCTGTCGACGACGACGAGCCCGCCCCTGTGCCGTCGCTGTCATCGTCGTCGAAAAGGGTCAAGTCAAAATTGGGAAAATCGCGGAGATAGATGTATAGAGCCATTTTTTCCCTCTTGAAATTTCTACATTTTGTTTTTTTTTGCCTTCCGCGCTTTATTTTTTGCAAATCTTTTTTTTTTTTTGGGGGGGTTTTCTCAGCAGCGGTATATTAAAATTTGGCTTCTTGATGTATGCCAGCAGTGACTCTCTCGCATTTGCATGTATGTATGTATGTCCCGGTCTCTTGGTTCGTTTAGTATTTATTCTCTAATCTCCGGATATGAGATTTCAGCTTAAAGATATTTTCGATATAAATCCTAGTATAAATCTGAATCTACACATCTGTTTTCAATTCTCCTGCCCCGGGAAAATAAGTACAGTATATCAATTGTTCACCCCCGCCGGTTGGCAAATACTAGATAAAATGAGGAAAATAAGGAAACCGTCCTGAAAACCAATAAAGATAACATTGATTCCATATCACTAGCTATAGCTTAGGTTCAAAGAAACGAAACTAATAATGTCGAAAAAAATAGGCCACGAGAGAACGCTGAAGCTTAGAACAGGCTAGGCTTGCCAAACAGAGCCGACCTAAGAAATGTTCAAATCCTAGGTCTGTAAGTAAGAAAAAGTGAGAGAATTGATAGGGCTTAGACACGACCCAAAATGTATTGGGAAATTATCTAATAACCTCGCTCCCTTCCCGTTCAATCCCTTCCAAACTTTCCAAGATAGCACTCCCACCCAACTGGCCAGTGGCTCCAGCCGTACTCTTCCGCGGCCCACTCCACACCTCATGGAATTTGACGCATTCATCGCTAGAGGCGACTATGATGCATCCTTCCTCCGCAGTACGGGACCACCATGTACCCCCTTCCCGATACGCGACCCGGGGTTTTGTAGTACTATTTATGGATGACTCGGGGGAAATAGATCGATTGGAATTAGTTCCCATTGCGGGGTTTGGCGGTGCCGCTACAACTGTAGAGATGGACGATGATGTTGATGGCACACGCTCCTCCCCACCTGTGTGTGCTATATCATTGGGACCTCCGGGGTAGCTGATCGCCCACAAGGCACGGCCGCAATCGAATGAATTGTCAGAGTCGGTACTCCCGGGTCCACTATCAGAAATTGGGTTCCAGGGGATAGCTACAACTTCCTGGCAACTGGGCCATGCAAAAACAGCCACACGGAACGGATGTTCCGGTTGCGCATATCCAAACGTTGCTGCAATCTCACGCCGTGTCTTACTCCAAATGAGACTTGTCACCTGAGCATGGACGTTGATCGTAGCCAGACAAGCGCCTGAGCCTGTATGGAAGAAATGGATGCATCGATCATTTGAGCCACCCCCAGTGGCTAAAAGCGATGGCTGCCAAGGCGCAAAAGCGATTGCCTTCACCGCAGCAGAGTGCTGAAATTTGTGCCTCTGTCGGTTGGCTGGTATAAAAATAGTCTGATGCTGCCTAGATCCTAAATTTCCTGTTTGCCTTGAGGCAGGATCCTGCGCAAATCCAGATGAAGACTCACTGCTCAGTGTTTGAGATATGGCAACCTGATTAATCCGACCCCAGTCGAAAATCCGATTCAAATTAGGATGGTATGGGAAACGAGAAAGGCCACCACGGTCTTGGGGCAATGTTGGTGGATTTGTCGTCTGCTCTGAGGAGTTAAGTTGTCCACTCGTATCATCCTTGCCAAGAATATCCTGGATGTCAAACAAGAGGCACGCGTTATCATTGCCTCCCGTAGCGAGGTATTTACCATCGGGCGACCAAACCAGGCCGCATATTTGCTGGGTATGTGCAGAAATCTTTGCGATCAACGTTGTCGCCCCATTCCACCCATGTCGTTCTCTTGATTTCGGATCCGGCCATTCTACAGAATAATAAAACACGTTTCCCGCATCGTCTCCAACAACCAAATCCTCAGTATCAACAATCGATCCTTGAAATCGGACTGAACGCCTTTTGGTGGTGGCTTGTTTAAAAGAGACGCAGGAAACCGAATTAGGTTGGTACAACTCAAAGCGAACATCGGTCTCGAAAGTACTCCAAAGGGAAACTTGACCGCCATGTCGACCAACAGCTAAAATGCTATTACCCCCTTGGGGTGAAGAAAAGGAAAGAGAAGTCACATAGTTTGAAGCAAGGTGGGGCGCTAAAGGAGGATATTGCACACCGAGGAGCTCTGACCACAGGTACACGCGGCTATTCAGCCCAACGGCCAACATGCGAGCAGTATAAGAATACGCAAGCGTAGAACAGTAGAAATCATCACGCAGAAGAGGTGCATCGAGAACTCGGAAAGGCGTCGATGGAACTGCGGATCGGGCTGGCTTAGTTGCGCTTTTCACTTGTACTATTGGTTTAGTTGAGTCAGCTAGGATACATCTCTTTGGATAGAAGATTTAGGTCTTTCGAATAATGGAGAGTGAAGCGTAGAGGACGAAGAAGAAGACGAAGGGAGAGCGCCAGAAATACCGGCAGGGTACTGTGGAAATGGATACACCTAATACTCACAAGTACTGCTATCGGTTCTCACCCAACTGCTTTGTCTCCAAACATATGGAGAATACTTCCCGCGTTGGGAAACTTCTGTGATATTTCTCGGATCCGCAAACAACGAAGCACGGCCAAAATTCAGTACTTTAGTTGCCTGATCGATATCCAAAGCGGTTGCAAGACGAGATTCATGACATTTGAGATGTTGGGCATGCGTATCCCTGTTCAGAAAGTTGGCAATATACATTGGCGCATTTGTTCCAGTTGAAATGAGTCCCCCGTGGCCATCGTGAACACCTATGGGCGCACTCCCCGTTGCGGCAGAAGCTCCTCCCACGTTCCAAACGGCGCCCGCGCTGATCTGTCGATGGCTTCCGCGACTAGCTGGCCTGTTATTCCTCGCGTAAACTGAGGTATCACTAACATGTCGTGGTAGATGATGAGGAGTGTCTCTACGGTCCGGTGATCGGCCTGACCTAGAGAGACCCAAGCGACTCCTTGCCTGGTATGGTGCAAAGGGGTCTGTCCTAGGGTCTCGTCGCCGGAGCAGTTTTTCCCCGGGAGAAAGCAGGCATGGATTTTTACTTAGGCGGAATGCAGGCACATCTGTAGCATACGGCTCACGAACTGGGATAAATCGATCTGAAGTCAAGAGTCTCTTACAGGAGACTGGTGACGGACTTCTGATCAAGCTCCGCCTTGTATTAGGTGCATTGAGTAGGCTAGAAGGTATCGGGCCGTGATCTACCGCGACAGCAGCCGGTTTCCTCCCTTGAATAAAGAAGTTATCGCTTGAGGGGCTGGTGGTATTGCGGCTGGATCCGGGACTGGTAATTGAGTTTAGAGTGGAGGAAGGAGAAAAGTCCGAATCGAACTGAGAGGAAGCGGGAGTAGCCGAATCCGAAGATCGGGCTTCTGGGGACACTGCGAAGTCAGGTCCAGAGATTGATTGTTCAACAGAAGAGTCATGGAAGTGAATTAAGGAGAGACTATAACCATTCCTGCTCTGTCTTAACTCTTCAAGCGACTGGGACCTTGAGAGCATTGCTGCCGCCCTGGCAGGGGGGAAACGAGGGATCCACCATCAAGTGCTAAAATTGAAAATGCAACGAGAGGTGGTTGAGTACAAAGGTAATAAAAACGACAAAGAGAGGAATCAGGTATAGCATTAAAGATAATGCGATGTATTGCTGTAGCTGGATGCTGTGTCTTATAGAAAGGTGTCACTGAGTGCAGATTGAGGTTGATTGAGCTGCCACCCAGGCAATGCCATTTCAACGGTCTCGTCTCCAGGACTGGCATCTCCCGCCTCGCCCTCCATTGTAGCTGCTTGTTTCCCGCTTGTTAGGTTCCTGGAGTTTTTCGTGTTTTTGTTTGTTTTGAGGTTGAGGTGGAAGCTGGAAGTCGTTACCTATGGAGCCGCTGTCACGTGCTGATAACAGGTTACAATTAGCTGATAAGATTGCCTTTTGCTTTCCCGCAATTCGCTATTACATGGATCCAGACCTTACGCCTTCTCTGTCCTCGACTGCAGGTATAGTTATATATACAATATACCGAATACTAATTAAATATTTCCTATGGCAAGCGTAGGTTTGCCTAATTTCGTCATACCGAATGTGCCAGCTAACGCCCATATGTATTTTGACTAGCACGGAGTTCCACGATATGACGCTTCCATGCAAAGGACGGAGGCGGCATGGCAGAAAGAATCCCAGAAAATACAGACATATAATGAACTTGTCAGCATCGTGAATTCGCAGGTAAATGCTCACTCTTTTGTAGAGACTGCAGACTACATGTACATGTACTTGACAAACTAAACTTGCCGAGAACGGCAACTAGAGAGCAGAACACGATTTCAGCACGGAAGCATTGAACAAAACTTCAGAACTGCTCACTAAGAATCCAGAGTATTATACAATATGGAATACGCGGCGCCTAATATTACAGCACCAATTCTCCAAAGCTACGTCTTCTGGAGAGGGAGGTGGCGATGGTCAAATTAAAAACATCATCAAAGCCGATCTCCAATTTCTGTTCCCCCTTCTCCGGGGATATCCCAAGTGCTATTGGATATGGAATCACCGCCTCTGGGATCTAGAGCAAACTACTCTTCTACTTCCGACTTCTATCTCCCGAAGTTTCTGGCAGGAGGAGCTTGCGCTTGTGGGCAAATTGCTCAGCCTGGATAGCAGGAACTTCCACGGCTGGGGTTACCGTCGACAAGTTGTATCGGCACTCGAAGAGTTAGCTTCCAAGGATGACGAAAAAGAAGCTCATAGCGAGGACGCATGGACACCTGCAAGCATGGCGAAGGCTGAGCTTGACTACACAACCAAGATGATTGGTACCAATCTATCCAACTTCTCTGCTTGGCATAATCGAACGCAACTTATTTTGCGGCTGTTAGACGAACAGTCTGCTAGTGATGAGGAAAGGAAGAAGATGCTCGACAGTGGTAAGTCCGTCTGCTGGTTGATAAACCGAGTTTGTCCACTAGACTGGATCAATTGTTAATTGCTAACGAGAGAACATCCTTCATTCCTGAGGGGTATTTAGAGCTGAAATTGATCCATCGGGCTTTAATCGACCCATATGACCAGTCGTTGTGGTTCTATCACCAGAATTTGATGTGCACTTTTGACCCTGCGCTGGCTTCGGGGACAATGGCGCCGAATCTTACGGATATTGAACGGTTAGAATACCTGGAGAACGAGGTTGAGGCTATTACTGAGATGTTGGACGGAGAGGAAGACTGCAAGTGGATTTATCAGGCTCTAATCAGCTGTGGGGTGGTTATTTGTCGCGTCAAAGGGGTTATGTCAACGGAAATGAAGCAACGGATCTCTGGATGGGTATGTGAGTTGAAAAGGCTTGATCCACTGAGGCAAGGGAGGTGGCTAGATTTGGAGGCCTCACTGAACCTGTAAGGGCGGCGATGTTTCACGATATTCCAAAGCACGTAGACAACTAGATTTCCACAGCATGAAATACACGGCGGCATTGGAATTTGGATTGTTGTAAACCAGCAGTACATGGCTTGGATTAAAAAGACGACCTCTATGTGCGAGGAATTGGTAGATACCAGGTCGCCAAATCGTATGGAAACCAATAAACGGCTCTGGAGCACCTAGATTGTTACACATCCTTGTTTTTCTCTTAAACTGGAGAATTGTTCGACCTTACGGACAAAGAGAACGGCAACAAAGCCAAAAACAAATGCATTTGATGTCCAACTGTTGGCAAGTAATCACACACGCATGAAGAGGCGGTTAGCGATTTGGCCACTGAGGAGGGGGACTTCAGACATGTCAGTGACTTCAAGTTGTTATGATATGACAATAACAAAACCAACATCTAAGAGATCTTCGCGGTTGAGGTTTCGAGGACGAAGCTGATGTATAATCCCCGAATTGGTAAATTGCAGCATGCAGGTCGGATTAATATACAACCACTACAATCCCCCCCGCAAGAGCCATTGGTTATATACTAGGAGAATTTGCCAAACTCAGGGCGCCGTAACTAACGCAGACGCAGAGAATCAGCATATGTATTTCCATAGTTAGGCAGCCTGCAGGTTGCTGTTTCAAACTCCCAGCCTCTAAAGCATGATGGGACTCAAAAACGGTGGCGGATAAGACACTAGACCTCTTAGCTCGTCTTTAATTGCAGATGTTTCAAGATCCCTTCCTGGTCGTCACTCTCCCGCCGTCAGTCATGACAATGGATGGTTTCGCCGGTCTGTAGCAAGTCGAGGCGAGTCAACTCGAGGGTTCTTTTCTTTTTCTCCAAACACACCGCCGTCGTCGTCCACCAACAACCAACATCAACGCCTCGCCACAGAGTCTAACCGTGTCAATCCAAGGCCCTGTCTGTCCCTGGCGATCTTCGTCCTTTTCTTTTCTTCTTCTTCTTTCTGGTTTTCGCTTCAGTCTTGACTGATTGACCGATCGATTTGGTTGTTGAAACGCCATGCCTTGAAAAATAGCCTCCAGTGCAAATTTAGTAAATAAATAGTAGCTGAAGGCTAATATTTTTCGCGGCCAGGCCTGAACGTATATCGTTCGCCTTTTCCACCCTTACTCTATCGTCCATTGGACTTAGTCTAGTCAATCTTACTATCCGAAGTGCTAAGGATTTATCCAATCTGGCCAAATTGTCTATGGACGCTACCTCCTCTCCTCCAAAGCCCACATAGTTACCACGCTCAGCAAGGGATATTGTGAACGACGAACTTTACTACATGCACACGACCAGCCATGGTATCCAGCAGCGCGGAGAATACGGACTATGAAGCTGTGGGTTACAACCCCCCTCAGTTGCTTAGAAATAATGCTGCTAGATAAGAAGCTAAAAGTGAAATGAAATAAAATTAAAATAAAATGGATTGCTTATTGTATTCTTCTCCTAGGATGCCTTCGAAGACGCACAGGATACTGCACCACGTCCTGAATCCCCACTTCCCCAAAGCGCTACCCGTTCTCTAACCGACCGTCGACCTTCGAACGGATCTCTGACCACCCCCCGAGCCACAGTCCATCCTCCCTTGCCCATACCTGAACGGAAGCAGAGTGGCCATGATGATACGTTGTCACCAGTATCTCCCGTGGGAGATGATACCCCGAAGAAAAACAAACCCTCAAAATCGCCCCTATTAGCTGCTCACCGTCTCTCCACAACATCTCTTGATGAAATCAACTTGGCTGCTCCGAAGGAAGGGAATGGGGATGAGAAATCGCAGCAGACATCCCCCGACTCGTCAAGTGGCCCTCCTCCCCTTCCCTCAAGAGAATCCGCCAAACAAACTGGGCGCCTCCAGGGCTTCTCCGCTTCCCTTCCCTCTGTACCGTGGGGACCCCCTCCAGCAACCAAACATCAATCACCAACAACCCAATTAGCGAATCCCCCACAAACCTCGCGGAAACTTACTAGTCCGTTTGCCTGGCTTTCGCGGGCTAGCTCTGGCGGCAAAGATATAAAACCTTCCTCTGGATCGGGGAATAGCCGGAGAAATACCGCGGCCTCGATATCGACAGTGGGCAGCAATCCTGAATTGCTGGCCAGGTTACAAGAAGGTAGTGATGGGGATTCCGCCAGCTTCGATTCAAGGAGACGGAACAGCTTGAGAGACCAGTTCAAATTGCTGAGAATGCGGAACGAAGGTGTTGCCGATGAGGCAGCCAGTATTACCTCTGCCCATGATGAGGGCCGTGCTAGCACCATTGGAAGCCCAAAAAGCGAATCTGAGAAGAGCGAAACTGGACTTGCTGTTCCACCTGCACCATCTCCTGTGGCAACATCACCAGGTCTGCCTCCAACTGTCAATCCAAACCTAGCGCCCGGCACTGTCTCTGGTATATCATCCTCCGCAACTGATGCCTCAGCTCCTGTCGATTGGGAACTGTGGCAACATGTTGTCAACGTTGGACCGGAGGCTCTTAAGGGATCCAATGCGGAGGAGTTGAATGCTGCTATCAAGAGAGGTATTCCACAAACGATCCGTGGGGTTATTTGGCAAGTTCTTGCAGACAGTAGAAATCCGGAATTGGAGGATGTATACCGAGAATTGTTAGCGAGGGGCACGGAGAAGGATCGTGATCGCTACTGGAGCATCAGTTCTGCCATAACTCTCAACGGCCAAAGTAACGGAGTTCCGAAGGATAAAGAGAAGGAATCGTTGTCCTCTTCCCGGTCCTCAGTAGATTCTGATCGCTCGAGTCCCACAGTTAACTCAAGCAATGGTGTTGTCTCTCCCCCTTTGGTACCAGAAAAAGACCCAGATCCCGTAATAAAAGCACAAGCAAGTCTGGAGGCAGCTCGAAAGAAAAAAGCAAAGGAGGACGCCATCGCTCTTCAGAAACTGGAGAAAGCTATCAGGCGGGACCTGGGATCAAGGACCAGTTATTCAAAATATTTTTTGTCGCAGCGCAACCAGGATGGGTTATTTGGACTCTGCAAAGCCTACGCGTTGTATGATGAAGGCGTGGGCTATGCCCAGGGGATGAACTTTATTGTTATGCCTCTGTTATTCAATGTAAGTTTTCACTTCACTGCCTTTCACTTGAACGATGCACAATTTTACTATCGTACAATCAACCTAACTTGGATAAAAATAAAATTAGATGGATGAAGGGGAAGCATTTACCCTTCTGGTTAAGTTAATGAACAAATACCGCCTACGAGACATGTTCATCCAAGATATGCCTGGACTTCACATGCGCCTGTACCAGTTCGAGCGCTTGCTGGAGGATCTTGAGCCTGCCTTGGCTTGTCATCTGCGTCGACGTGGAGTTACACCCCAACTCTATGCAACGCAGTGGTTTCTCACCTTGTTTGCATACCGATTCCCGCTTCAACTTGTCCTCCGCATTTACGATTTGATATTCGAGGAAGGGCTAGAGCCGACAATCCTCAGGTTCGCTGTCGCAATCATGCAGCGCAATACCGAAGCATTGCTAGGGATGAACGATATGGCGTCGTTAACTAATTTCCTCAAAGAAAAGTTATTTGATGTCTATATCGACCAACAGCCATCTGCAAGCTCGATTCTCGAGTCTGGCTTCTTCGGCAGCTCTGGTTCCTCTGACAAAGAAGTCTATCGTGCTGATCTCATGGTCCAAGATGCGTGCCTTGTCAAGCTTTCGGATGACATGATCAAAACGTATACTGCAGAATGGGAAGAGAAAGTCCGCGTGGAACAGGAACAGGCAGCAGAGTTGGAAGGGTTAAGGCACACTGTCGCAACGCAAGCCGCTCGCATCCGCTTGCTTGAGGAGCGCGCGGAGAAGTCAGACACGGAGCATGTGCAGCTTGCGTCAGAACTAGTCCGCCTCAAAGTGGAGAATGAGGAGCTACGAGATGCAAATGAAAGTTACAAGGTTGAAGTCGAGGAGCTGAAGATTGTTATTGACCGACAACCTGCCGAGCTAGAAGACAAGTTGCGGACGGAAATGGAGCGGATCATGAAGCGAAACATCGAGGTGCAGAACGAGAATAGGTCGATGGAGGAGCAAATGGCCGAGATGGAGAAAGATCTTGTTGATACAAAGTTGAAGTGGGCCGAGGTAAGAAATACATCTCTACCACTACCTTCCTAAAATTTATTCTTCCTTGTGTGTTCGTTCCTACTAATCAGCCATCCACTTTGATCATTGTAGATGTCCGAAGAGCATGAGAGCCTTAAGCAGAAATGGGTCGATCTACGAAAGGCCCTTGGTTAATATATGTAGTACGGGAACGAAATTCGATCATCTCATCCTTTCCCGCCCCTTCCATGCATAACGCATACACCACTTGCATTATACTCAGCTTCTCGTTTTACCCTCTTTGCACATCCACAGAACATCATTTTGCATCCATTCACATCAATTTAAATATATACGTTCATAGATACGTGACCAATACCTGACTCCATCGCAACGTCGCCGCCACAAGAATTAGCAACGCATGAAGCCAACTGGCATATACAAAGTACGAATTTTGTTTCAACGTAAAACTCTTTTCTTCGTCATCTCTTTTGAACAACCAATTGTGCTTTTTGCGGTTGTCGTCTTGTCCTCCTCCTTCTATTTTCTTGTAATATTCCTTTTCATCCCTCCCCTCCAACGATTGTGAGTTCTTCTTTGGTTTTATGCAAGACCAAGTTTCTCTTATTCTTTCTTTTCCGCCACATAGAATTGCGGAAGTGGGTATGCCGGATATGTTCCCAAACTGAATATCCCGACCCAATCGTTACTTAGCTGATCAAGTTTCTTTTTCTTTCCTCTCAGTAGTTTGTATGTCATCATATGCTCTCCTCCTTCATTCCCTCCGTCTTACTTCTTCGGTAATGATATAAATTTTTTGCTTTTATTATTTGCTTTTCTTATGTTTTCAAATTCGAACCCTTGGCTGTCGTTAAATGTGACACCATGCTTGTATTTCCCTACTTTCTGTCCTATGATATGAATAATATGCCATTTTCATAAACAAACCTTTCCAAAACTGTATTATTGTATGCTTCTTTTTGCTTTTTTTCTTCTGCTTTTGTATTTCTGCTTCCCTGCGCTCTTCAGCAGTGGCCACGTTTAATTAAGCATTCAAGTACCCTGCATAAGAATGCGGAGAAAGGTGTTGCACTCAACGGCAAAGCTAGAATCCAAGTGGGGAAAACATTATAAATGAGATGCGAAGAGGGGAGTGGTGCTAGGAAGGAGAAAATCCTGTCTCTAGATTAGCCGCTTTTCTATTCTATTCTATTATTCTCTTTCTTCTCATCTCTTCTCTCTACTCCTCTTTTCTTCTTTTCACTTTTCCTTTTTGTCTTTTTCTTTTTCTTGCTTTCTTTCTCTCTTTTGTTTTTGTTTTCGTTTTTATTAGTAGCAATAAACTACTATTGTTCCTTCCTATTCCCTACCTGGTAGTTCCATCTCACACCATAGCCAGATGTCTCCCAACCCAAAAAGGAAACAAAGCGGAGGTGCAAATATAACCATATTGACTCAAAGATTTCCCCGCGCTGCCTGCTCCCTCTCAAACGCCTCAAACAAACTTTTGAAATTCCCCGCGCCAAACCCATCGAAGTTATTCCGCTGAATCACCTCGAAAAACACCGTCGGCCGGTCCAGCACATGTTTCGTGAATATCTGGAGCAGGTACCCTTGCTCGTCGAAATCTATCAAGATGTTCAGCGCCTGCAATGTGTCTATGCTTTCGTTGATGACTAGGTTTCCTTTTTTATCGCCATGGACCCCTGTGTTACCGGCATTCATGGCAGCGAGACGGGCGCGTATAACGTCATAGTACGCCGCGGGCACAGAAAGGAACTCGACGCCCCTTTTGCGGAGATTGGTTATGGCGGTGATGATGTCGTTCGTGCGGAAGGCGATATGTTGCACTCCTGAGCCGTTGTAGTAGTCGACGAATCTGCGTGATGACGTATATTAATATACATACATACATATATATATATATATATATATGGTCCGCGGGAGAACGGATATTGGGTCCTCTTTCTTACTCTTCGATTTGGGACTTCTTCTTGCCCACTGCTGGCTCGTTTAGGGGCATTTTTATGACCTCATTGGGCGACGCGACAACAATGGAGCGCATGGAGGAATATCCGGAGCACAGGGACTTGTCATCGACACTCCAGTAACGGTGGAAATTAAGACAGTCTTCGTAGCTATGTTTATGGCCATGTTAATTGGTGTCTGCCCTTTGCTCATTCTATGGAAATCTCATCGAATAGGGGTAGCATCCATGATCAAAGTTGGGGTTTTCATACAATTTCACTGCCATGTCCAGGCCGTTCCACGGCTGGTTCCCGACACAGTGGTCGATTTCGATGAAGTCAATCGGAGGCAGAAGCTCGTTGATCGAGTCCCCTTGTTCCACTCGCACGTATCCAGGCAAGAAGCATCCCTTATAATGGTCCCTGTTGATGAGGGTATGTGTCGTGTCTCCAAACGACTTGATTGTGGCCATCTCTATTTGCCCGCTCCCAGGCTCGTCGCCGCCGATTATGGTAGGGTTCACCACAGAAACGGCGCCATTAGCCACAGCTCTCTCCCACTTAGCTTTAACGTCTGCATTTACCCGAAAAGCAACATCCTTTACCCCATCCCCGTGTTTTTCCAAATGGTTGTGAATTTCATCCAGCAGGGCTTGCTCCCTGACGGATATCTGAAATTTACTTATTTCATCCGTGGCCAATTTCCCACAAACCGGAGAGGTCATAACGAAAGTGGCACCGCTGTTTGCGATGACATACGAGACCAAGGCGCGAGATCCTGTCTCTGGGCCGCGATATGCCACTGGGTTAAAGCCCAGGCGCGTGATGAGATATGACGCTGCCTGTTTCGCATTCCCCACGTACCAAGTGATATGGTCGAAGCCGTAGTACTCCGGACCCAACACGGAGGGCATAATTTCGCCATTCTCGGACGTCGCGGCTGTGCTATCGAAACACAAGGAGGATCCCATATTTGAAGGGGTGGCCAAGGGGCAAGTTTGATAGCGATATTGCAGCACGGTTGAGATGAAAATGGCAAATGGCAGAGTAAGTATAGAACTTCAGCGGGAAGAAGCCAGCCTTATTTATACGCGGTTTCAAACGGCGGCCGTTTTCGATGGTCTGATGGCGGAATGAAATCAATAGAACCGGAGAGAATACGATATGCGTTGAGAATTCATATGATTCGGGAGGAATAAACGCACATGCCCGATGCAGGCAAGCAACGCGTTCATGGACTGAATAATGGGTTCCTGTGGATATATCGGGAGTCTCAGGCCGGCAAAGCCGCTGCGCGACGGTGTTTTGAAGATTCTGAAAGAGAAATTGTCCTGGGATTGTGCGTGGTCATACATGCTCCGGGTTTGATGGCCGAGTTACCACGAAAAGTCAAACTTTGCGCTTAAGAACAAAAATAGTTAGAAGTGGCGTTTCTTCTGGCCATGCAGCAGACTTGGAGTGCTTTTTGTCGGTGGCTCATTTTTCGGATGTCTTTGCCATTCGATATACGGCCAACAGAGACCTTTTCCTTTGGTAAGAAAGAGCGGTGAGAATGAATGATCAGTTCCCATTCTAGGCTTGCATTAACTTGGTTGTGGAGATTGATTGTTATCCCTAGAGTGGATTAGGAATAGGGAATCTGAAAGGAACAATATATATCATGGAGATAGGGATAGATAGGTGGAATATACATAACATACAAACATTTTGGAAAGGTCGCCATTAAGTAACTTGATCATCGTAGTAGTTAATCGTAATTATCGCCAATCCACGACTAAACCAACCTATTTATTACAATACGCCCCCAACTCACACATCCGAAGAAACTGGCTCGGGCCGTGAGGAGAATATAATCTTGTATCTGATAATATCGACAATCTCCAATTCATCACAGCTGTCACATTCCTCATCCTCCGTCCCCTCGTCCTCCAACATCTCCTCCGCCCGTACTTTTGCTTTCTGTTTCAGCTTCTTCATCCCTCCCGCACCGTTCTCGGGATCCATCTCATCAACGCGTTGAATAGCCGCCAAAGGCCTTGGAAGTTTTTTTACCTCGCCCGTTAGCCGTTGGTGCCGGCCGACGTATAGATAGACACGCTTCATCCAGGAGTGATCGCTTGGATCATTATCTGTAGAGTCATTGTAATCCGGGAATATCAGGCGGCCAATGGGTGTCTGATACTGTGTCCGTGAAGTGGCGAGTCCGCTGGACTCAAGATCCGCGTCAAGGGTATGCGAGTCTTTGACTGTAGGTGGGTCTGGCAGGTTTATCGTACCTTGCAGTTCTAGCATTGCGAGTCCGGAGGGAGTTTGGAGGAGTTGCGGAAGGGGGTTTTCTTCTTCTGACGACGCGCCACGTTCGCATGGCGGATGAAGGCGGACTGTTGGCATGGCGCGCAATTGATTAAGTATGGAGACCTCGGTTTTAGAAAGAGGGAAGTGGGTTAGCTTAATATGCCTGCCGCTGGTATCCCGCGAATTCCTCTGTTGTTCGTCGGCAGTTTTTCGGGGCGTTTTTGCACGCAGCCGTTGGTCTATGACGTCGATTTTTACGGCTCCACTGTTTGAGAACCAACTTAGCTTTTTGTAACACCCCAGCTACAACTTGTAAAGAACACCTATACACACGTTAAAGCACTACAGTTGGAGGTGATACCGGTGAGAACGAAAAAAAGGATTGAAAAATAGCTTTAGTAATTAGATTATCTAAGATTGTGTGGATTTCTATTTGTATTAGCAGATATGGTATGCGTATTTGAATCCCATTTAAGGTTTGTGAGAGTAATGTTTCAGCTACCTTCACAAATATTACCCCAAAAAAATAAAATAATAAAACAACTACAAAATATAGGGGAAGGGACAGGTGCATTACATTGGATATACAATACAATTACATCAATGGTTTGGTGGAGCCCTGACATACCCACCGTATAAAAATAGAAACGTATAAAAAGAACAGATAATGATATTTGCCTACCCTCACATTTCCTTCTGCTCAGAGAGCAGTGCAGTATATTCCAGCTGCCATATGAAATGCACATGCTTCATAGGAAAAGACAACAGGTAAACGTACCTTGGTCTGAACGGGTTTAAATCTGTAAGACTTCATGCTTCAAAATTTGAGTTTACTCTGAGAATCCATATCAACTCTTACTCATTTAATAGAGGGTTTCAAGTCAATAGTTCAACAGCCCTTGTTCAGCGCTTCTTTCTTTCTTTATACTATATTTGTTGGAAATTGGAGTGGATTATTTGCTTTTTCTTACAGGTAGCAGCAGGCCAGAAAAGAGAATGTTAAGACGCAAACTTGCTGTGTGAACTGTAAGAAGTATTCCAAGACAGCAGAAGCTGGCTGACCAGAAGAAGGGCAAACAGATCCTGAAATATATGTTTAACAGCTACCCTGCGAGACTTCTAAGGCTAGACTCATTCAATGAATTCGATTTTTGAAGTGTCTTGAACGTTCTCCTATCACCGGGAGAGATGTGGGCGTTGGGCGTTCATTCATCGAACTGGCAAAGAACATTCAACCAGGAGGCTGAAATCTTCGGATTGGTGATCCAGGGTTTCTATAAAGCTGATAAAATCCCCCTCCTCCACGCTAACTTTCAATCTCTGAGCCACGGCTCTTGTGTGTCCTGGAACAGGCCAGCTTCAAGGTAAAAGGGAGCACGCCACAAAGGCATTATAACTGTGTTGCGGAAGCTAATTAATGAAAATGGAAAGGTAGTTCCCATATCCCAGGAATAAATCTGGGAAGCGTTCAAACCAAAACCCCATTGATACCAGCCCTCCTTCCTATCAATAGAAATCTCCCCCACATTATCGCCGGATCGCAGACGACGGACGACAACGACGACCATGAGCCATACGGCGTCTCACACATGGTTGTCAAACGAAACACGAGAATTTGAAGCTTGGGCGAGGGTCCGAGATATGATGGTGTACGTTGCCCCGAAATCCCCCTTCACGCCAAGAACCTTCGGGGCATGGATCTCCCATAGACTCGCATGGATGGAAGAGGAACGTGGACGTATTTTCCGCCAAGCTATGGCAAGACAAGCGATCGAAAAAGGATGGCGCGAGCAGGTCCAGGTGGGACCAGTACTTGGAGGAAAGAAGCTACCAGATGGGCTGGCTTTAGTTCTCGCCAGGGAGACTATTTGGGCACCTCGAAGAGGCTACCCCAGCGTTCATAGTTTTGCCCCTTGGCCCAGCTACGAGGAGCTCAAGCACGAGGGCGATGACCGGAACAAATCCGGCTACTCTAGATTTCCTCCACTGCCCCGCGGTCGTGGGAATGAGACGGTGAACTGGAAACAACGAGCACCTATAAAGCAGTATCGATTCGACGAAGTCGGCCGCCCAGTGTTGGAGACAACGAGTGTTCGTATTCAGGATCTTGAAGGTGAGATCCTGAGGCTTGTTGGTGGCGCTCTGCTAGCCGAGCTAGGGTGGCTGACTGCCATATCGTTGCATCGAGAAGATTGATGATGGAAGAGTCGAATATCCGTAGATAAAGACGACAAGATGGAGAGCTTCTAGGACGTCAGAATATCTTCGACCTGACAAATGTCTCTCACCACCACACAAATTCTTTGCTATCGGAGTAAAGGGAGCTTCCTCGAACAGAATGGGAAAAGCCGCAAAACATGTATCGGTGAAGTTTTTCGTTTAGATGGGTGTGGCAAGGCTTTGGGCATCCCAGGAGTCTTTGGATGATTAACGAGTAGGACTAAGAAGTTTCGATGATTTCATTTTTCATTTTCTCAGCAGGGAGTTCCAGGCGTTTTGTAATTTTTAGCATTGACCTGTCAGGTTGCTTGCTAGAGTTTAATTGTCGCTTGTAACTATATTCCGTGCTACCCATGGCCTTTTTAGTACGGTGTACTTTCAAATATATTAGAGCCCGACCCAATCCCATCATCTTGAAAGTCGTGAAAAGTGCCATGTTTGGGAGGTGGTTGCACTCGTTAGCCATGGCTGAACATCGGATTGATGCCATCCTAGATTCCCTTAGAGGATGACCGGTAGCATTCCTAATGGGAAACGGGTAGCCCATGTTTTGCAAAGGCCCAGTGAGTAGCTTGTACCAATATATTCGCGGCCGAGAGGGTTTCTTTTGAGGGATCCAAACGAACAAGTTAAACGGGGGTAAAAGTTGATCAAGTCCTACCAGAGGGGCTGCAGGCATTTTCAAGCTCTTTCAAACCCGCGATCGCATCTTCAACAGCGTTGGTGGCAACGCCAGCAGGCTTGTTGAATTTTCCATATCGCAGATCGCTTAATTCCCCTACGGTAGATGCAAGGTCCGCAAAAATACGTGCAGCTTCGGCATCTGCGGCTTCAATTTCCCGTTCCATCGAGGAGCAAGCATTTCCCATCTCTGGTAGAAGGGAAGCCAAGGTGTGCATATCCCCGGGGGAAATGGTAGGCTCTCCTGGGCCGAAAAGCTGGATGTCCATCTCTGTTTCTAGTTTATCGTGTTTGTCCATTCCACTTACCCCAGTGGCTCTTTTTGCATTTCGGAGCGCTTCTCTTTGTCTCTCACCTCTCCATATCTCTTTGTCAATATTCTCCCTGACAAGATCAAGGTCCTGAGAACGAATGTGTTGCAATTCTCGATATAGGACCCTTACTTGTGGGTGGGACCGGAGGCGTTTGGGGAATAACTCCGTGAACTTTTCCAAAGAGATGATAGTAGGCAGCGGAGATGGGGAGAGAAGGAAATTTGCCAATATTGACACTTCGGAAGGGGCCATGATGGATGACTGGCGACAACAATGAAAAAAAGAACTGGGATTCAACCAGCCAGATTTTGCTTCCAACTTGAAGCAGTCACAGCAATACAACTCAGTACAAAAAGTGCCCAGGTGCACTTGAAACCGGCAATAGAACACCACAAACCCGTACAAATTTAAAGCCCAGAAATGCGGAGGTTGCAACAAGTATTCAGATCTCACAGAGGGAATAAGCCGAGAATTGCCTTTGAATTTTCGTGTTTGTTGTCTCCATCTTCGCGCCGAAGTAGAGCTGAGGTTGATTTTGGCTCTGCAGCTGACATAAGCTCAGAGTCATCAACGCGTTTTAAGCGCAAAGTTACAGGATGGTAACGCCTGATACAGGGTAATACCGGCGCGTGATTGTGAAAAGATTCAAGGGGCCAGCAAGGCGCAGGATCTGTCCTCGTCGGTGACTTCCATACATCACAGCACACCTCGTCTGCTGTTCCTTCGATTCCTCTCTGCACGGCAATCGTTATACCACCCATACGAACATTTGGAATTTTCTTTTTAGGAGGACCTAGTGCTGCGTGGTGCTCGTCATCGAGTGCTTGACATCCTGTACGGGATTTCTTCCACCCTGTTTCGATAAAAGCATCAGTTTTGCTAGCTGAGCTTCTTTCGTACGTTGCAGTAATATCTGTTGCTTTTGCTTGTGCTTTGTGGCAGTAGTTTCTCTTGCTTTCGCGAGTGTCTTCGGATCTTCAAACTTGCTGCTTGCACCAGTTCGCTCTCCCCTAGTCGGGCTGAAGGTACCAACAGAGCAGAGAGGTTCTTAACGCTGCAAAACCAGTGAATAAGACTGGACATACTTTCCCCTGCTGTCCTGCTGTCATGCCGCCAGCAAATCACCCCATTTATCATAAGGATGAGAAAGTCTTCTGCTTTCACCATGAGATTCTGTACGAGGCGAAGATCCTTGAGGTCAGATTGACCGATCCAGACGACAGAAAGAGCCCCTACGAGTATCGGGTTCATTACAAAGGCTGGAAAAATACGTATGTACATTTGCCTATCTTAGTTTTCGAGATGACGTGGTCTCTTTGGCTGGATTTTCCTTTCTTTCTGGACGCAAAGCTGACGGATATGTTACAGGTGGGATGACTGGGTTCTACAAGATCGCCTACGCAAAGCGACTGAAGAGAACAGAGAACTTGCCGCTACGCTCCGTCGTGATGTGGAAGCTTCTCTTCGTCAACGATCTAACAAGTCATCGGCGAAAAAACGTCGTAGTTCTGACATGAGCTCCAATCGAAACAGCGAAGAGAGGCATTCATCCGCTCCTGCCAAAGGCACGAAGCGATCAAGAGATGCTGAAATTGAAAAGGTATGTAACCAAGTTTATTTTTGATGCTACCTAGTACATATTGTGTTCCGATTTCTCTGAAAATCACGTATCATAATCATTTTTGTATTGGTTGTTTTTGTTTTTGACTTGAATCGCCATATCGCCTTGTATGACGTGTTGACTTGTGATTTGCCACAGGAGGAGCATTTCAACGCACGCCCATCCGTAAGGATAGTGATGCCTGATAACCTCAAAGCACTCCTCGTAGATGACTGGGAAAACATCACAAAGAACATGCAATTGGTACCACTTCCCGCAAAAGTCTCTGTCAACAAAATCCTCGATACATACTTTGAGGAGGAGAAAACCAAAAGAACTTCCCAGGCTCAAGTGGACGTGCTGGAAGAAGTTTTGTCTGGCATTAGAGAGTATTTTGATAAATGCCTTGGCCGGCTGCTATTATACAGTTTTGAAAGAGAGCAATATCACATCCTACAACGGAAATGGGAATCCGGGGCCGAAGGGTTCGTCGACAAGGGACCATGCGATATATATGGCGCTGAACACCTAGCTAGATTATTTGGTGAGATTTATCCAAAAGGGGCTAAGCTAGCCCTACGTCCCCTACTTGTATTCTGCTCTAGCTATTCTACCTATTATGCAAACCAGCGCTGACAACATCCCCCTTTCGTTCACAGCCTCGTTGCCAGAACTTCTCGCGCAGACGAATCTTGGCCAAGAATCTACCAACCGTCTGCGTGAGGAACTGTCTAAGCTTGCAATCTGGCTGAGTAGGAACTCTGAAAAACTTTTTGCAAGCAAATATAAGATCCCCGGCAACGAATATGTCGACAAGGCAAAGGGAGTTTCAAACCCGGATGCCCCCGGAACCGCAACATCCCGCCTATTTTAGAATCGACAGGTTTCGATGGCCCTCTGACAATGAGGGAATGGACACACAAATATCTTGTGTTGAAACTGGTGATACGGTAGCATCTTTTATACGCGTTTTGCAAAGATGAAATGATATAGGACAACTTAAAGATGTACACTTTGAATATTCTGCAAAATTGTGTCGAGGGAGGAAAGCAAGGGCTACGCAGCCTCCATCGTTGTTCACCCAGGCAGGCCTTTCATACATTTCTGAAATATACTCCTTTCTTTCCTATGAAGTCACGGCATGGATGGGATGATATTGGGTGGTTATCTTTTACATTTGTTTCCCGAGATTTCCGCCACTCTTTTCCACACCTGACGCATACGATCATTTTCGGGCGGTATAAGCACGCTTTTTACACTTTCTCTTGACCCGATTCTTCGTTTGTATTGTCTCTTGCTATGCACCTTAACGGTTTGTAATCTTTTCTCTTTTTTTTAATCTTTTTTTTTTTTTTTTTTTTCCTTTTGCCTCTACTTTTTATCGGCGCTCTTAGGTTTATACGTTATATATATATATATATATAGCTGCTAGATCGAGTTATGGAAAATTTCAGGACGTTCCATTTCTTTGACAACTAATAGAGGAGACATGTATATATTTTCTTCTCCACTCTCGAATTCCTATTTTGTGAGAATGGATAATGTTTTTCCATGGCGATAATCTAAAAGGGCGATGAGTATAGATCTATATAGGTATGACGGGGCCTAGGCCAGTTTAAAACTACCCCCGAAAAGAAAGAAAGAAAGAAAAATAGAAATTTCCTATCCCATCGAACCCAGGCAAAATAAAACCCATGGGATGAGATGGGGAGCGTGCGGGTGGGATGTACAGCGCAACAACTTGACTATGTAGCCGGCTACACAACAACGCTAAATTAATATCATAATGTCAAGAGAAGAGCAAAAATCTTTAAATCCTAAAACGTTAAATACGAAAAGAAAGGACACCGCGCCACACATGTGCGCACGAACGAACCATTAAAACCCTACCGGAATACAACAGGGAACCCCGAGAAGGTCCCCTAGTTCCTCCTTACTCCTTCACTAACTTATCACCACCACCACCTCCTCCCCCTCCTCCTCCTCCTCCGCTCGTATCGACAAGAACCGGCACCCGCTCTGCCTTCGATACAATCACCAACCTAGCATCATCGACTGCGCAGCGCGCGATCCGCTTTAACTTCACCTTCCAATCCGCCTCCCTCCACTTCGCCCAAAGGTTAAGCCCTTCCTGAGACCGGATGCTCAGAGTCTCATACCCTTGCTTGATGATCTGGTGAACTTCGCGCGGGCTGAGGTTTTTCTTCCTGCCAATGGCTAGGATTTCAGCGGCTGGCGTTGGGGTGGTGGAAGCTGCTGTTGGTGTTGTATTCTTGGATTTATCTGCGAGAAAGAGGAGGGAATGGAAATGCGAGGCGACACTGATGAGGGTGTCTATGGAGTGCGTGGCAGAGTCAGTAGCAGCGGTGGCCGGGGCAGCGGTTATGACTTGTGCGTTTGCGGGTTTGTTGGACGTTGACGGTATTGTTGGTGCGGAGGAGAAGGAGCGTTCGTAAATATCCTTAAAGCGGGTGAGTATGGGTCCTGTCTCAACGACTTTGTAGAACAGATCATCGTACGACGCTGGGTCTGGGAGGAACGTGTCGCCAGCGGATATGCAGAAGGCGATTAGGTCGATGAGGGAGGTAGCGAGGCTGTGGATTTGAGGGTTTGAGGTGAGACTCGTGGAGTAGGTTGTTAGGAAACGGGTGAGAGTGAGTAGGGTCCGCCAGAGCTCGGACCAGTGGTATGCAAGGCGTGTTTGGGTTGAGGAGACGTAGGTGAGGAGGCGGAGGAGGATGGAGATTGTATGACTGTTCAATTTAGTCCGTTAGTGTATGTCTGTGTCACCTGTGGCATAATAATCGAGGTACGCACCAATACAAGTCGACGTCAAGTTCCCTGCGGAGGTTGTGGTTGATAGCATCAATCATGATATCGAAGACAACAGTCGCAAGGATTCTGTCTTCCTGTATCAAAGGGAGATACGGTGCTCGCTGGCGACAAAGTCGTACAGGGCGCTTCATCTCCTCGCTACAGATCTGTTTACATAGCAGGGACTCTTCCACGAGTATGCGAAGTGAGAACAGATTGGTCTCTGCATAGAGTGTGACCCTGGTCGATCGATATGCATGTTGTAGTAAATATGATGTAAATGAGAGGAAACTTGAAAAGGGGGATTCTTCAGAGCGCTTCTCTGGCATGTATGAGACAAAACTGAAGCCAAACAGCTTATTCGCGTTGATGAAATCGTAAATGGCAAGTAATATGGTCGCTTCGGGAGAGGGACTTTGGTTTTGTCAGAAACCACTGTTCTCCGCTGCACATATTGAAGGGGGGACAAAGAAGGAATCCACCTACAGAGCTCCAAATCGTGCTTTAGCCTCTTCTGGAGTCAATGGTGTCTTAGCTCTGCGACCAGGAGCTAACGCCCCAAGGCCAAAGAAGGCTAAAGTTGAGCTCAAATTCCAGCCCTCAGGAAGATCATCCTGAACGGCAACATATCCGTTGCGCAATGCAGTGCATGTTACGCCAGTTCCACCGACAATTTTCTGAATCGTAGATTCGTTTACAAAGTCATCAAGTCGTAGCTGGTAAGGGTTCTGGAATTCGAATTTGTTGTAGTTTGATAGAAGCCCCAGGAGTACAAACGGCTCAAAGATTTGAGTGCGGATGTTTGAATCATGGATAAACTATAATTTGATCTGCAATCAGTATAAATTGGTTTTTGGTTTCGTGAATGTAGGAGAAGATATCGTCCAACCTTCATCAGGGCAGGGAAAATATCCCGATGCATGAAATAAGATATAAGACTTGTTTTGTAGCCTCCGCTAGTCATTGATATTGCAGCCTCAACAGCTTTGAGACGTATTTCAACTATTTTGATAAGAGCTAATTAGCTACTATAATAATAAAGAAAGCATATTCCTTTAAAACATTTCGTATAGAGTACCATACAGCTGGTTCCGTTTCGTATGATCCCGTCCAGGGCCGCGACAAAGTTTGCGATAACATGGTCGACTTCGTCAATGCCAGCAAGGACGGTGATGATATCAGAACTCGGGTTGGTGTACTTCTTAGTTAAGACGCCACCTAAGAAAGTTGTCAAGGTCTGTTTTCAAAGCTCTCAGTAAGTCTTTTTGGGCGGGAAATTGAGAATGCAGTCGTGCTAACCTCTAGCGCATAAATATTTGATGGGGATTCCCCAGCAGCAGCCTCTTTTATGGCCTTGGAGAACAGCTGTTGAGTGTGAAACTACAGATCATATTAGTCAGATTCTAGACAACTACCTAACTATGCATGCGAATAGACAAACAGGCACATACATGAATTTGCAAGATGTCATCAGGACTGATAACGTCCAGTATCTGACTCAATCGAACCCTCTGCGGAGGGAGAAGAAAGAATTCTCTCCAGAATCCTTCCGACGGCTCTGCATCCTCAGCGTTCTAAATCATTTATTAGAAGAAGGCCGGTGGATATATATTGGCTATAGCGGTTTGAAATAGTTGCAACATACAAGGAATAGGGTCTCGTAAAGCTTGACGATCTTGGGCTGGAAGGTGTCTGGTCTGGATTGTTGGGTTAGCGGGGAGGATTCCATGATTATGGGGAAGACGACGCCCGACGGTCGCGCAGTTTCAAGGTCTATTAGCAGTGGGTGTGTCAGTAAGACATAGACATTCAAGGGTATTCATTGTCCCGCGACCAGAATACAATAAGCATGATTGATAGGGCATTTTTACACATGGATCGCGTTCAGCCGCTTGTGGCTTTTACCTCCCCAACATACCGCTTAGTCAGTGTTAGCCGCGCGGTTACTAGTGCGCCCAACTGTTTGCCCCGTGGATCAGTATCTTAGACCTCGGCACGCAGAGAAATCAACTGCGTCTGTGCTTTAATCCAAATAAAAGAGATTATTTATATTCAAGCGACCACTGCTGGCTACTGCTGCATAGGGAAACCATAGTATGAAACAGCCACACGAGATCCTGAGAAGTTATCGGCGGTAGCCCTCTATACCGTACTGATAGGATACTCACGAACGCAGGACAATGCGTTGAAACCCGAGGCAGCTGATTGGCGGAAATTGGTGTTACTGTGATTAGTCACCCACCCCCGGACCGCATTCAACCGACTGCTGCCATGGTTTTTGTCATCCCAAAACCCTTCGTCCCTGGATGATTCCTATCATTGACCATCTTCCCTTGCTCTTTCAACGCACCACCCTCCTTGGGTTGTGTATGCCATATATATAGACTATTGTCGATTTATCTTCTCTTGACCATGTCGTTCTGTTCTGCTCTTCACCCAACGGTGACATCATCTGGTCTCCTCCGATCAGTGACCACCAAGCTGCCTCGACGAGCGGCATGTCCTCTTAGCCTCCGATCATTCTCATCATACGGCTCATCCAACCATTCCTCGAAGCGCAAATTACAGACCGCAACCGCCTATCAACCTTACTCTCTTCTAGAGTCTCTCCCGCCCCCCGCTCGTAATTCAGACAGCGTATCCGAAGCCTCAATCGTTGTCGATAAAAATTCAATGCTCGGCAAATGGCAATCGGGATCAACTAATCGCCCACATCCACAACCACAGCAACCTGAGAGCGTTGAATCCATCAACAAGTCAAACGCTACCAGTTACCCAGAAGTTGAGGCTCAGGTTTCTAAGCTGATAGCTCCCTCCTCTCCCTCCCCTTCCGTCTCCGCAACCCCCTCCGCAACCGCAACCACCACCCCCCCAACATCCGCACAATCCCTAACACCCAAAAAAACACGACGGGTTAGCAAACTGAAAGCCCGGAAAGACGGCAATGCACATCACTCCTGAAGCTATTTTACATCTTTCGCCACTAACCGACCAGCCCGATCCTAAGTTGGGTTCGCGTTGGCGGTGAAGAATAGGGGATGCTCAGGGTTATCTTACCATCTAGAATACGTGGATAAACCCGCGCCATTTGATGAGGTGGTGGAGCAAGACGGAGTCAAGATCTTGATTGACAGCAAGGCCTTGTTCAGCATAATTGGCACTGAAATGGACTGGCAAGAGGACAGCCTAGCCAGCCGGTTTGTATTCAAAAATCCAAATATAAGTAAGTGACTTAGGTCTCTTTTCGTCCCAAAATTTCGACACGAATATATATATATAGCTTGCTGACTATGGCTGTGGTGGCAGAGGACCAATGCGGCTGCGGCGAATCGTTCATGGTGTAAAGATTTATCTACAATGAAAGAAATTGGTTGGACTTTGTTTTTATAGGTACATACACAAACGTTATATCTCCGGGGTGGATTGATCATCCGGAGTTTGGGATGAGATTTCTTCTTGGCTGTTTTCAATTTTCTAATAACCTCTGAAATTTTTCTTATATTAAGTATTGTCATTTTTATGGATATACCCGTCTCCACTATCTATGTCACATTTTATTCTAGAGGAGCTCTTCTCCCCCGGCCTCCTCTCTTTTCTTTCTTTGCTAATTGGAAAGATAGCCTAAGCGAAGTGTATACAGCCAACATGTACAATTCTTTATTCTAACACTACCTGAAAACAATATGACGAGAAGACTTCCTTCTGACAATCTATAGATGCGCTACTAGTAAGTGAGACAACTAGGATATCATTCTGGTATCAACATTGTCAACAACATTGACTCGCCACTTGGAGTTGAAGCCCCACGGTACTAAGAATCACGTGCTTCATTTTGCGGGCTCCAACCAACATCCATGGATAGAAAATGCATCACAAAATCCAATCTACACAAGTAAATGAAGAACATCTCCAGCAAAGCAACTATGACAGAACACCTCCCCCCCGACCTCACCCTCCTCCTCACGATCCGTTTTTCTGCCTCAATCCCAGATGTCCTCCTCGAAATCCCTGACCCAACCCTCCTGACAGCCGCGGGCCTCAAACAACTCATCCGCCAACATCTCCCACAGGACCTCTCCACACACCGTCTCCGCCTCATATATGCTGGCAAGGCCCTCAATGATACCTCTCCTCTCGCCTCCAGTCTAAAAATCGCCTCTACCATACCTGGGATCGGACATAATAACCATAAGACCTCATCCCCGTTGCCGGATTACTCCTATTTGGTCGGTGCTGGGAATAGGAATGTGAAAGACAAAGGCAAAGCACCCGTGCGTGATCCGCCCACACCACAGCTACGGACGTACATTCACTGCTCGATCGGAGATATCATCCTCTCCGCAGCAGAGTTAGAGGTGGAGGCGCGGCTTGCACGTGCGGCGGAAGAAGATGATACAGAGGGCTGGGAAGGGACCAAGCGGCCAGTGGTGGATAGCAAGTCCTCCTCTCTGCTTATCCCTTCTTCTTCTTCTTCTCTCAACAACCCACCACAATCCTCCTCCTCGTCATCGTCCTTAGATGCTTTTGCTACCGCACCGCGTGGTACCATTTCCACTTCCACTTCTACACACCATGGCCACGGCCAGCAGCACGCCCAATCAGCATCCACCTCCACCCGTCCATCACCTACCCCCACTGGTCCCAGAGGCTTCGACCGCTTGTTAGAAGCAGGCTTCACATCTGCCGAAGTGTCTGCACTGCGCTCGCAGTTCCTCGCCCTCCAGTCCCTCTCGTATACGCCGGATACAATGCCGTCCGGCGCGGAGCTGCGACGCCTTGAAGATATATGGATGGACGAGGGGGCTTCTGCGGGCTCGATGGAGATGGGCGGCAGCGGCATGGGGACAGGTGGGGCCAGTGGCAGTGGTGATGCGGGGATTGCGAATTATGGGGTCGGGACAACGTCGGGGGCAGCAGGACCGCTGGATGACATGCTGTGGGGTTCGGTGATGGGGTTCTTTTGGCCGGTGGGGTGTGGGCTGTGGTTGCTAAGGGAGCAGGGGGTTTGGAGTTGGAGGAAGGGGTTGGCGGTTTTTGTGGGGATTGTGGTTAATTTTGGGTTTGGGGTCGTGAGGTTTTTGAACTGAGGGGTTGGGAACAGGGGAGAACCGCGGGAGGAACTGACGAATGTATTATATTTGTAAATATTTTTTCATTTTGTTTTATGGGCCTTTTCTTATCCCTTCTTTTTGGCCTGAGGCATGAATTGATCTGTAATGATAGATGATACAGCATAGATACCCAGAGTTCTGGAAGAGTTTTAGTTTATAATGAAATCGCTATATTATTGTATTCGTTCAGCCGATTGTCTCCATCGGACCCGCTCCTTAGACGGTACGTAAACCGGAGATTGTAGTAGCAATAAAGAATAGTCGTATGGTACAAAATCAATATCACAAACAAACACCAATAGAAAAAACGAAAGGTGGGCGGACAATATAAATAAAAAGGAGACGGTTCGCCTAAAACACCAAAACTAAATTAAGACGCAATAATATACCCAAAAAGAGAACGCTCAGTGAAACTTGCTGTATATAACAGCAACGATAAGAAGGACCAATACGGTTATGATGGCGAGAGTAATCATCCGATTCGTAGCCATCCTATTCACATGAATCAGTTACGTCACGCCCGACAGCTATTTAATGGTGTTTAAAATTTAGGATACAATACCTACGAGCCATCCCCCTCAGCGTCTTTACGCTGCGATCCACGTAGCCTTCACTTTCCAGTAAGCCAGCTCGGGTGTGCTCGATGGTCTGGCGTTGGATGTATAGATCAGCTAATGTGTGCCGTCCAATATCCTCGGTCTCCTGCGCTACTCTCTGGCTATCCCTTAGACGGGCGGAACTCCGCTCTAGACGTTCAGTTCCGGATAGCAGCTGCTGTCTCTGCTCCAGATGGTGGTCGTTTACGCCGTTGGGCTCATCTGTGTATCGGTCGCCAAAGAGCGCTCTGCGGTCATCGGAGAGGGCTTTAAGCTGACGCTTGACGTCGTCGATGTCTGTTACGAAATTGCGGAAACGGGCATTCACTTTCGAACGGGCTGCGGAGGGGATGTTCTCTTTCTCTATCCGCATTTGATCTATCTATGTGTTTTTGAGCGGGACATGTGTAAGTCAGCTTGTTCGTCCTATGCGCCAAATAGCCAGATAGCGACCAACGACAGGTCAAGAAGCCACAGGAGAGAGACTGAATAGGTAGGTAGGAAATACACTTACTAGTTCGGTGGCCTCCTCTAATGACTTCTCTGCTTGTTTTATGGCTGACTTCCTTTCCTCTCCCTGGTATTCTGCGATTTGGTCGAGTTTCTGGTTCAGGTCTGCCTGGACTAACTTAAGCTCAGCTTCATAGCTGCTGAACAGCTCTGAGCCGGCACCTGCATCGAGAGGGCTCGCCATTTCTGATATATCTTAGATGCAAAACGGAATATCGTGTCGGAAGCGTGGTCAAGAGGCGGATAAAGCGGGCTTTGTTTGTTCGTTCGATGTGGGGGCTTTATGAGAAGATCCAGGTTATGCAACTTATTGGGATCGATATCCTTCGCAATCACCAAAACAAATAGAGTTTTGGCTGGTTTCTGGTCTTATTGATGGTATGCGACTTGGGAGTTGTGATGATGCCACGACGGGAAACCACCTGGGCAGTGGCAGTCCCAGCCATGCCAAGAAGGGCAATGAAGAGGTTAAATAGGTACATAAAGATACTTCTGTTTACAACTAATCACACATATTATTTTTTGTATTTAAAAGTACTCATTTGGTTTATCTCCACGTGATCTGATCCATTTGAGGATCCATATCTACGGCTGAGGAATGCACGTTCAACTGTGACCTGCAAGTATACACAAACTGACCCCAGTGGGAACGGCTGTTCACTCCCCTGATATTGGAAGAAACGCTAACGTCATATACTCGAAAAAACTAGAGTGAGAAATCAGGGATGCTCCCGTTCATCCGTCCTCCTGACTAGTCTGGCATTCTACTGTCGTCAATAATAATATATCAACATTTCTTCCTATTCGTGCAAAGCTATCTCCATTTAGGTCTGGCGATACCACTACGCGAGTACCTCTGAGGCCATCCGTTTGATATAGATTCTGTTTGCGCGGAGAACATCAGGCTTTGATTTCATTCGGCGGAATCTTATCTATCGGCATCTAGTTAGCCATGTTTTATTTCTAGGGGCTCTGCTAATCGTATTTTTGGGTGTACCCTTCGTTCACTCGCAGTATCCACCCAGATCTCACAATGGCTCCCAAAAGAGTTGCCATTGTTGGCGGAGGTTCTTCCGGCCTAGCTGCATTCTGGGCCCTGAAAGACACTGGGCACGAAGTCCATCTTTTCGAGGCCGCGAGCAGATTGGGAGGTCGTACACATTTATTTCAGTATGAGAAAAGAGGAAAGCAAATTGGGGTTGATACAGGACTTGTATATTTCAAGCCTTCCACTTCACGTCAGTTTGCTTCCGTACCTTGAGCTTTGTCTCAGGAGCTTACTCGGGGAAGCAGCAAATCTACACGCATTTCTGCAGGAGCTTCAGATACCTTGCCGCGACACCAAATTCTCAGTGTCCTCGTTTCAGATCCGGGATTCATTTGAATGGAGAACCACGTCGCTATCCGCTATTCTCTCCCGCAACCTATTCCGGATAGATATGTGGAGGATGTTGATTGATGTTGCGAGATTCAATCATTTTGCTCTCGATCTATTGAGGAGTGGGCAAATCACCAAAAGACAACGATCTAGAAGGCGGAAGAACTCCAAGCAGCCCCAAAATCATGAACAGTCTGAGCAGAGCATCGGCGCATACCTGGCCAACGAGGGCTATTCGAATTCTTTCCGCGACCACTACATAATTCCACTTATTTCCGTTTTGTGGAACGTCAACAACGCAAAGGATGCATTGGAACTTCCCATAGTTCTTCTTCTACGCTTCATGGCGGACTGCGATCTCCTCCGGAGCTCTTTGTTTTGGTCAAAATGGATGTGTCTAACGGGTGGTATTAATGAATTCGAGGCCGCAATTGCAAATATCGCACCCGCTGGAAGAATTCATTGCAATACGACCATCAATTCAATTAAAAACAGTGACAGGCCTGGATGGTTAGCAGTGCAATGGGATGAAGGCCATATAGAATATTTTAATCACGTCATCATCGCGACGTCGGCGTATGACGCTTTAAACTTGATATCAGCCGGGGCGACTGATGTGGAGGTAAGGGCACTGGACGGGTTTAAAACAGCTAGGACTGTCGCTATCCTGCATTCCGATACGACGGTGAGTTCTAAATTTACCCTTTCCCAACTCATGCTCGGACTTGGAATTTGTGGCAATCAACCATTTTCTTTGAAAGACTTTATTTTCTATACATTAATTTAACAACAATATTCGCCATCGATAGCTGATGCCGAAGCGAAAACGCGTCTGGGCGACTTTTAACCACATAACGAAATCCTCGCAACCCAATTATCTGGACACTAGCCAATTCTGCACCTCCTATTCTATGAATAGCCTACAAGGCCTCTCAGAAGAAACATTCGGTCCCGTCATTATAACCCACAATCCAGTATCTCCTCCCCACCCACTCCGGGTGCAGGGAATATGGGAATACCCACGCTTCATGTTCAACAATCGTGCACTGAAATCACACGAAATTCTCCAACAGATCCAAAACACGCGCGGGATTAGTTACTGCGGCCCGTGGACCGGATACGGGCTGTACGAGGATTCGGTTCAGAGTGCGTTTCAGGTAGCAGTGGATCATTTAGGAGCCGAATTGCCGTTCAGGGTCATGGGCAGCAATGCACTTGTTTCTTCATCAGATGCCGTGAAACGATTGCAAGTTGAAATCTTGACCAAAAGAGAGAGACTGGCTAGGTTGCTTGTAAGGATTGTGTTGGTGATCTACTGCTTTCTGGGGATTGTGAGACGGGTTGTGCTCTACTTCCACAGGACATGGGAGAGGAGGATGGGGAGGATGAAGGACAAGAGAGGAAGGGAATAATAAGGCGTGGGGGTGTGTTGTGAAGATATACCGCCGTATATCTCAATCAAGGCAGAGTGCAGAAATGATTTTTAGGGGTAATATTCTCTCGATACGCTTTGATCCCTCACGTGTAAAAATTTATTTTATTTTATTTTAACGAACCAGAGTCCCATTTCCACCGCCATCGCCTAATCATAAAATAACAGATGTCAAAAGGAGAGCCGAACATAAAGCCAGAGCGGACCGCACAACGAGCAAATTAGGATAAATCGAACCTGTTGTTACAACGTTGGGGGAAAGAAAAGACATGGCATGACATCACATTAAGATAAAAAGATAAATTAAAAAGAAAAAAAATTCAAGAAATAAACCCATTCCCATCCCCACTCGACACAACCCCAGCGCTCCTCTTCGCATCGATAAACAAATCCTCACACTCCGCAATATCCGCCTCTTCAATCCCGCCAGCTCGCCCATTTACCCGTGCTAGGATGCTCGCCGGCGTCAGTAGCTGCAACGCATAGCGCAAACTCACTTTACTTCCATGCTCCGCGACTTTCTCCAGCGCCGGCTCGCTAATGGTTAAGCCCTCTATCTTCGCACGCAGCCGCACGATAGTTTTTATCTCTTCGGGGTTATAAGCGTGAGTAGGGATTATTAGAAGGCGTGCTAGGAGGTCGGGGGGAATGCCATGAGCGGCTACTATGTCTCCTGTGCCCCGTACGACGGTGTTGCCACGGTTTGAAGCGAGTATTACGATGGGGGATATTGAAGACTCAAGGGCGCGGTTTAGGTAGGTGAAGCATTCTATATCGAGCATGTGGACCTGGGTTGGGGAATTAGTCTACGGTATCTTGTTTCCTTATTGGGTATTTCGCAGGTGAAAAACGTACTTCATCAATGAACAAAACGCCAGGAACCAACTCGGCTACGCCTTGGTCAATGTATCGGTTTACAACCTTGTTGATCTCCTGACGCAGTTTGTCTGTGATTTCGGTCTTCTTGGGTTTCATAAGCTGGCCCATCATGCTCATGACATCCTGTCCTCCTTGTGGTCTGGCGTTCGCAATATCCAAGTCATGTAGCGTGACGTCTTGTACGATTTCCTTCTTCTTGTGAACGTCGCCCTTGGGGACAGGTACGTATTCTTCCGCTTCCAAATCAAACTCAGTGGCATACGCGTCAGATCGTCCGACGCGCTTGCACGCACCAGTGTTGGCTTCGATATATATTACGTCGCCGACAGTTACTCTTTCCTTCTGAATCGCTTCGTAGATGCTAGGGTCCAGTCGCAGCTTTTTCGTCCCTCTGTAGGATTTGAGCCCGATGATTAGATGGCTTATGGTCCTTCCGTAGCCTCCCAATGGGTTCTCTGCTTCCTCCGGAGTGAGCTCCGTCACTTCACCTTCGTATACTTCCTTCGTCTCGCGCACTCGTAGTCCTAAAGAGCGAAATTAACACCAAAAAGCGAAAAATAAATCTATATAATGGCACTAGATGAAATCTATTACCAATTGCCCTTCGAAAGTTTTCCATGAGCGCCTCCGTTTTCTTGACCTCCGCCGAGAAAACCTCACTACCCACGATGGGACAAAAAGGTACTTTGGTGCCCAATTCTTGCGACACAGCCAGCGCCAAAGCCGTCTTCCCCGTTCCCGGTCCACCCGCAAGTAGGACTGCTCGGCCCGCCATTTTTTTCGCTTTTATCATATCGACCACCACACCGCAGGCCTGAGAGGAAATACCCAGAGTTAGTCCTTGCAGAACAGGGAATAGAGATACAAATGACAAAGGGAGGGATCTGAACAAACCTCTCTCGCTGCTGCCTGTCCAACAAAGCCAGCGCTTGTGGGTTCAGCCGTGCCATCAGGCCGTAATCCCAAGCCCTTGATATGGGTGTGTGCCGCAGTTCTATTCTCTCGCGAATTTCCTTTGACCTCACTGATCTGAACCATAGCGGGAGAGGTCTCTGCGTAGCGCAGATGAGCTAACAGTTAAAACCAATCAAAAATGGAGAAGGACTAATTCTGGAGATGGACAATCAAAAGGGTATGTGTTGTATAGAAGGATGGTGGTTTTTGAAGCTTCCTCATAGTGTGCTTGCGGCTCTACAGCCAGTTCCGTAGGAAGAGTGGTGCTAGTCTAAACTAAGCCTAGTGTAATAAAGTCTCAAGCACTTATTCAAAGCTTTAATCAATCGGGTTTGCGCACAGTAATAACATCTACTAACGACCTTTTACTTCTTAACCCTTATACGGTTCATATGAGAGGAACCAAGTCTCCAGTTAATTCTCCTCCTACCATGCTTGGGCTCTAGCAAAAGATAGTCGCCACAATGTCTCTCCGCTTGACCAACCCGTTCGCACTCTCCCGCCCTTCCTCCTTCCTCCAAGCATTCCGCACCCTCTCCTTGGCCCCAACTCGATCTCTCTATATTTCTGCAGACCCTACCAAAGGGCCGCCAGAATATCCTTATGGGCCCGCCCGATTCTTCAAACAATCAAACACAGGCCTCTACGGCGGGTCTACCATCCAATTCGGAAACAAAATCTCCAAGGGCCGAAATAAGGGAAAGACAAGACGGACATGGAAACCTAATATCCGTCACGAGGAACTGTACAGCGAGGCCCTAGGGAAGACATTACAGCTCAAAGTCCAACATCGGGTATTGAGGACGATTAAGAAAGTGGGCGGCTTGGACCAGTACCTCTTGGGCGATAAGCCGGCCAGGATAAAGGAATTGGGCATTTTCGGATGGAATCTGCGGTGGAAAGTGATGCAGTCAAAGGCGATGCAGAAGAAGTTCAAGGACGAGCAAAAGGAATTGGAATTGAAGGCCGCGGCGGAATTAGAGTCGAATGATCAGGAGAAAGTAACTGCGCCCCAGAACACAGAGTGATCGAGATTTTTTTCGATTTTGCAATTGGGACGGATGCATACATTCGTTTGATTAATACATCGAGGCTAAGAGAGGGTGTCTTGAGCCCAATGTTCACCCAGCTTTGAACTATTTTAAATCCTCAGCCAACCTAGGTAGGATGGATGGCTGACGGATATCTCCAACAAATTGCTCACGCAGGTACTGCTACCAACAATGAAATGTATATTAGACAATGTATTTTTTGGATATTCGGCAATCAATTTCTTTCCTTCCTTTTTTCCAGAATGGGGACATTTAATCTCCATAACCACCACATGTGTCGCCTTGACGGCCACACAAAATTTCATATTATGTGCTACTTGACAAATTTCATTGCATTCAATGAAAAATAACCTAGCCTTTTGTATCTGTGTATAACTGTCCTTATTTTCAAAACTGGATCTGGGAACACTGTTGGAAACATTTGAGTATAAGTCCAGAATACTCTTTCCATTGAGTTGAATGACTCACATATACCTGTCCCTCACACACAAACGCCATGAGACCGCCTGACCTATCAGTTGTCCACAGTCAGGCAAAGTAAATCAAAATACTAGTTAGTTAGTATAAAATAGCCTAGATACGCCAGATCAATCATATCAAATATAATCGCTCTGTTCTGAAGCTGCGGAGAATCTTGTTGTTCCGCGCCGATGTCTTAACTAGCCTGAAATTCGCCAACATGTAACATGGAAGATTGATTGCAAACGCAAAGCTCCTAATATGGAAAAAAAAGACCCCTGGAGGGAAACAAAACAAGGCCACATGTCAAGGTCATCCAAGGGGAGGGTTTGATTTTTGTTGTCTCCCAGCATCCCGCAGCTGGGGGAAAACGTTTGGATTTTCGGAATTTTAATTATACAAAAGATGCAGTTCGCCCTGCCCCCGCGCAAGCCCTCGCATCATGTCCCATATACGCGGCTCTCTCACTCCTCAATAGCCCGTCGCCGCAAGTTGAAAGCAGGTGCCATATTGGCTTTCATTGCATTCTCGTTCCTTTTCTTGTTTTCTCGACTCTTCTCGCCGTCTTCGTTGCCTGTATCTTCAGGAGAGGTCGTACCGGCTGGGGTGACCAATATAGTCATTGTCACCGTCTTGGATGAGGACAGTCTCAGCGACAAATATATTCAGCGCATTAAGCAGAATAGAGAAGATTATGCCAAGCGCCATGGTAAAATAAATGCAAAACACCTTTTGGCAGTCAATGGCAGCCTGCTAATTAGGGATAAAATAAAAAAAAAAACAGGCTACACGAACTTTTTCGCAAGCACCAAAGAATACCTTCCCTACCTAAACGGCGCACCTCGCAGCTGGACTCTAATCCCAGCTCTCCGCCATGCCTACACCCTGTATCCGAAGGCGTCTCACTTCTTCCATCTCTCCCCGCATGCTGTCATCATGAACCCTTCCCTCTCTCTGACCTCCCACATCCTCGATAACAATCGACTTGAATCTCTTATGATCAAGGAGAAATCGGTAGTGCCGCCGGATAGCGTGATCAAGACATTCGCCCACTTAAAAGCAAAAGACGTGGACTTGATAATCAGCCAGGATGCGGAGAATCTATGCCCTGGCAGCTTTATCTTGCGACGAACGGATTGGACTCGGTACTTCCTGGACGTGTGGTTCGACCCCTTATATCGGAGCTATAATTTCGCAAAAGCGGAAATCCATGCTCTGGTAAGGTTCCATATTGCTATATATATATCTATATGATATTTGGCACTCAACTATTTTGAAACCATAGTTACTCTTTACTGATTCCCTTTTTTTTTTGTTTCGCAGGATCATATCATCCTATGGCATCCGACACTCCTTGCAAAATTAGCCCTCATCCCGCAACGTATTTTCAACTCGTATACGACGGAATCCCCTTCATTAGTGCCAGACAGCCTGTTCAATGACGGAGACTTTATTATTCGATTCTTGGGTTGCGATTTGCCCAAAGCCAAAAAAACCTGCGAGGAGCAGATGGAGATTTACTGGACGAAATGGGCCCGGGAAACAAATAACGCGAATCTATGAACGTAATTATTTTTATGATTATTTTCTCTTTGTCTTTCTCCCTCTTTGTTGAGAAGAATTAGTATCGATGGGAATGCGAACTTTACCTGTCCTCTGAACGATGTTCTAAATCGTTGAGCGCCTTTTCTTTTCCTTTCTCCTTTTGTTCGTTTCCTTAACTTCTGAATTTCGGTTTTTGTAATTGGATTATCATTTAAAATAATATGTGAAGATGAAGCAAACAGGTGGGAAGGGAAACTATTATCAACCCTATGGGTGCTAAATGGCTCTATTGTTGTTGTCGTGTATTTCTAAGCTCTTTTTTTTTGGTTCATTTCAACTACCCTGTTTTAAGTACCACCATATACAACGTTGAGATTCTTTTTATCTCCCCTTCTAACGATGCTACCATCAAGTTTTGCCCATCTATTCAAGGCGAGATGACGCTTCAGTTACAGCACTTGACCTTTTTTCTACTCAGCCCTTGGCCTCGACAAAGTATTTGTGTAAATGCTACAGGTCATCTTTTGTAGTAGCAATCATCCCATCCATACATAGATGGCAATTAACGATTTGCAATAATTTCTCCTAATATGCGAAATCGGATACGCCTGTTCTACAAACAAGGACGAAAATAAGAAAAGAATAGAATAAGAACAGAAACAATTTCGGTCCGCCTGCATTACTTCCACCAATTGTTTCTCTGCAATTAATAAAACGAGGTTGTCTACAATGCAAAAATAGCCCTCTAAAAATACAGAAGAACTTTTATAGAATGAGGAAGGAGGAGACAAAAGACATTACCCGAAAACAAAAAAAGAAAAAGAAAAGAAAAAAAAAGGCCTCCTGCTGATCAATGACCCTCGGGCCTGTATTAAAATTAAGTACGGGCAGCTCGTTCTGTCCCACCACACACGTCGTCCAACCCCCTTTGCTGTCCTTAGACCCTGGCCTCCTGATTTGATCCCGCGTCTATGTAGCCAGGCCGCAGCGCAGTGCTACCACCCACAACCGGCGAACACGGGCCTCAGACAATGCCCGGCAGCATAACGAACCGTTTCTTTTTATACTTATCGCCAAACTCTGAACGATACGCGCGTTCCTTCTGCTTTCCCCAGATAACCATCGGCGTGCATGCAACGACGATAAATAGCACCATGCTCCAATTCAGCCCGCTCACTAGATAAACACCGATCCAAGCGATCACCTCGAACAGGTAATTTGGGCACGTCACGAGGCTAAACCCGAAGCCGGACGGGATGCCTCGCTCGCTCGTGCCCGGTCGTCGGAGATTCCGTAGCACCACATGCGAGTTTAGATTTGCAAGTTGACCAAAAATGAATAGCGCGAGGCCTGTGTAGAGCAGTAGTGGGTTTGCAGATTTAATGGTGGTGGATGCGGCTTTGGAGGTAGGCGCATAGACCCAGTAGGCGACGTTGCAGCCTGAGAGAAGCCAGTAGTACCCGCTGTTGCGGATGACGAAGAGAGCGGGCATGGTTGCGCGGCCGAAGCGGTGGAGGAAAGCCGATTCCAGTTCGCGTTTCACAAAGTGGAGGACGACGAGGGTACAGAAGAGGACTTGATAATCGGTGACTGGGGGGGGATTGGGGATGCGATAGATTCTGGCGCGCATGGACGGGAGGAGGAACATTGGGTGGATGAAGATTGGGCCGAAATACTCGATGAGGTAGACGGTTCGCCAGCTGAGTTGGCTTCCTGTATGTATTTCAGGTCAGAGAAATGTTGTCTTAACCGGCAGCTATGTATTATGCGTTAAGCGTTTGAAAACGCAAAGCGACAATGAGGAAGGGAAAAAGGGAAAAAGGAAGTTGTAGGGCTGCGGACCTAAATCTTTTACGTAGATGGTACTTTGGTTTCGGAGGCCTGTGGAGTGTATGGTGGCATTGTTGCTGTTGTGGATTGCGGTGCCATCGCTGGCTTTGGTGATCCTGATGCGGTGTATGCTGAGCCCGCACTTTACAGCAATGGCGTTGTATAGCTCCGGTCCGGTTGCATTGGGATTAATTGATAGTTCCTGGGGAAGCTTGGAGATTGGCTTGCCTGGTGAGTTCGGGATTAATTTGTTAGATTTGAATATACAAACTTCTACCATATCTAGTATCCAGGCACGGGAGCTTTGAGCTCTGGACTTACCTCGAGACTTGACGTTAAGGGTGATGTTGTTCGAAGCCATTGGAACACGGTCGCATGTAGCAAATCCGGGAATTGATGAGAGATTGTGCGCCCTTCGAAGATTGTCCTGACAATGGAGGATTCGCACATGCACATCGAGTGGTTGAGTATCTCCCGAGGTCAGCCAGCTTGGCCTCTCCTGGTGACACGATTTCGGATTAGTGCAGTCTCGAGGGCGTAGACGTTCTGCCAAGTCCTACATGTGAAGGTTACGGAGTAAAAAATATGAATACTGATATCTGAAGGCCCATGTGGGGTAGTTATATTTATCTCTGACGCGTGTTTTTTGATATATTATTAGGATGCTTGGTGGTTCTATCTGAATGTGATGAATTCCTAGCAAATTGTAGCCATTTTCAAAAATGAATGAGCTCTTTTGAGATGATACGGCATATCTGAAATTTAGAGACGTAGAAATTGAAATCAACTCTATCAAGAGATAACACGGTATATCTATCACTACAGAATTGTACAGAATTGTTGAACGGCTGAAGTTGATTGTTGAGATTCATTATTCAAAGGGTTCAAGCTCGAATTGTTGCTTCAACAAACAAAACCCTTTTTAGCTTAGGCGGAGTTCATTCGGCCAACACGTGACTAGGCCCCAACAAGGACGACAGGGACAACAACTTGGAATAGTTATGATATTATTAGGCCCTCAGACGGGCTTTAACACCAAACAAGTGGAAGCAATACTTCCGCGAGAAGATCCAGGTTCTCCAGGATACCCTCAGAGTTGCCGGCTGGCGGCAGCAGATATGGCATCCATAGATTAGAGCGGATACTTAAGATCATTTGACAGGGTTGAGCAGGATATGCATATCTGGGGCGACGCAGTGGCTGCAGGCAAGGGCCAGCTGCCGAACCGCGCACCAGCCTGGTCAGCGGCGTTGGCAACAGGAACGGGGTACTTGACCTGCATCTAACCTTGGCATTTTGCTTTCTCGAAAAAAAGTCCAAGCGGAGCATTATTGATAGAAATGCGGCGGCAGCCTGCAAAGTGACGGCACGGCATAAATGTGTACCCACAAGCACATTCAAGTCCTACTCGATGGCACAACTGACCAGCTTACTCATGATTATCCAATGTAGCTCCCAGGATGTCTCTCGCTGATGCTGACAGAGTACTCTCAAGGTTGAACAGCTCGTCCAGCATATGCGGAGCGCCAGGTATCGCTTAATTTCAAGGACTTCAATACCCGAAGCAGCAGGGAACGGCTGTACCAAGGTAACGGCTGAGGCCAGGAATCACAACGTCGCTTTGCATTAATTGCTTTTTCTTTTTTGTTTTCATTTCGTTTCTTTTCTCATCTCTATTTTATGTTAATATGTTTTCAGCCTCCCTCATCAGCTCGGTGGGCAGGCGAGACGGACTTCACCGACCTGGATACCGGTTACATAGTACTCGAACCGACACCTACCGGCGCAAGCTGATTGGCAACCAGTACATACTTGGACACATCCAAGAATAGTGCAAGTGGGAATGCACATTAAAATTCTGGGCGAAATGTACTGTACCTTTGCCTGCGGCAGCTCCAATCGGCAAAGCGTGATTCGTGCCTATCAGTTCAAGAGGTGTGCATCCCTCAGGCCTGCATGTTCCATACTCTCCTTTCAAGGCTGAATTCCATCCTCCCAATCGTTGTGCAAAGCTGGCAACGACGCTGGGGATCATCCCGGGACTATTTTAGATTCGGCGTCTCGTTCGAGCTGCGAATACTCCTGAGGGAGCAGCGGAACTCTGCTCAGCCTCAGCATCAGGGAATCGGAGCCGACTTGTTCTGGAAAGATGATGCCATTCCTCTATGTATAAAGCGTCAACGAGTTCTGTGTCGTTGATCTGTGTTTTCGATTCCTTTCTTTGAATACAGGTGTACCGACGTTTCCTTGTTGACTGATACCAGTGATCTTCTGTGTTGCTTTCTAACATCGGAACGTGTCTTATTTTGCTTGCCTGATTTGGTGGTTGCCCACATTTCGGTAAGTCAAGTCATGCAATGATGTCTTACCTCTGCTTTTATTTTTTCACGTCCTTAGTTGGACAACATATCCTCTCCTCTTTCTTGTTGTCCCCCATAGACTGTGGTTCATGTTGTCCAAAACACCTCATGGGCCATTTGTGTGGGTGTGTTGGAGAGAGGAGGGGGGGAGGGGTTGCATTTTAAAACCATGTCTCATTGCCCTAATAAAACCTTTATCTCATGCTCCAACCTTGGAAGTGCTCAGGGTGAACATGTGACACATATCGCCCAAGAGGAGAATTTAAATTTTTGAAGCCCTGATACACCTTCTTGGTTTGACATTTCGATAACACTCATCACCACCATCGCCATGACTATAGGATTGAAGAAGTGGGCAGTTAGTCTCTGCGTCAGAGCTCTACTTTTCCCTATCGTCGCAGCTGTGAAGATAACATCGAGAATGACTGGATCCTGTGGGAAAAAGGCTCTCCGCGAAGAGATCGAGGATGGCGTTTTAAAACTGAGCCGACTCATTCACTCGTCGCTGCGACCGCTGCCTACCCAAACTGGGGATGGGACTTATGTCGACGAAACACCGCCTGAACCAAGTTTAATCGATGACCTAAATCAAGTGGACATCAAGGACCTAGAGACGCTGGCTGATGTCATTCGAAATGCTGCCACAGGAGCGCCTGTCAATGATAAAGATTATATCATGGAGAGAGTCATCCGGGTAAGTTACAATCGCCAAACCGATATTTATAGCTCGATGTTGATTCCAAATATTTAGCTCGCTTCTTCGTTACCCTCCAGGTCGCCAAATGCGGATAGGCTGAGCAACGCTCTTCTCTCCCTTCTCTGGAACGATCTAAAACATCCCCCGTTGTCGTGCGTATTTTATTCCAACTCCATTAGGGGATTTTATTGACGGATTAAATGTAGATATCTCGGTGAACAGTATGTTTACCGACAGGCAGATGGTTCCCACAATGTAATTTGGTATCAATTACCCAAATCATTCAGTATTTGAAGCTAAATCAGATATAGAACATCCTTTGGCCACAAATTGGCATTGCAGGTTCTTCATATGCAAGGACTGTACCATCGAAGTCGGTCCAACCAGCAGTGCTCCCAGATCCGGGGACCCTTTTCGATAGTTTGTTGGTCAGAAAACGGTTCAGACCTCATCCTAATAAAATATCTAGCATGTTATTTTATCTGGCCTCCATCATTATTCATGGTAGGCCCATGCCATCTCCAAAAATCATTTTTACAATACTCACATAGCGATAGATTTATTCCGCACTGACCGCGATGATTATACACGCTCCCTTACTTCCTCGTACCTTGATCTTGCCCCGCTTTATGGCAGTAACCAGGAAGAACAGAATACAGTGCGAACCTTCAAAGATGGGAAGTTGAAGCCAGACTGCTTTTCCGAGAAGAGGATCTTAGGGTTCCCACCCGGTGTTGGCGTGCTCCTCATCATGTTCAACCGTTTCCATAATTATGTGGTTGAAAATCTTGCCCTGATCAACCAAGATAATCGTTTTCCGAAGCCAGCTGAGGCTAGTGGGAAAGCATATGCTAAATATGATAACGACCTTTTCCAAACTGGCCGACTTATCACCTGTGGCTTGTACATAAACATCATTTTGAAAGATTATGTGCGGACCATTCTCAATATCAATCGGACGGATAGTGATTGGAGTCTCGACCCTCGTTCTGAATCCATGAGAGGTCTTTTTGGTACGGCGATCGACGAAGCAGGTGGCAATCAAGTTTCCGCGGAATTCAATTTGGTATATCGGTGGCATTCCTGCGTTTCGGAGCGCGATGACAAATGGACTCAAAATGCCTATAGGGAGCTATTCGGTGACGGCATGGACCCAAACAAAATATCCCTATCCGATTTTCTGCGGGTTCTCGGTAAATGGGAAGCTGGACTTTCCAAGGATCCTCTAAAGCGACCATTTGCCAAACTTGCCCGTGGATCAAACGGCTTATTTAACGATGACGACTTAGCCAACATTCTCACAGAAAGCATTGAAGATTGTGCCGGCCCATTTGGAACTTCACAAATCCCTGCTGTCTTCAGAGCCGTGGAAATTCTTGGCATCAACCAAGCACGCTCATGGAGACTTTCGAGCCTCAACGAGTTCCGAAAACATTTCAATCTCAAACCTCATGAAACTTTTGAAGACATCAACCCTGATCCATATATTGCTGACCAACTGAAGCACTTGTACGACCATCCAGACAATGTCGAACTCTATCCTGGGCTCATTGTCGAAGAAGCTAAAGAATCCTTGGTGCCGGGAAGTGGGCTGTGTGCTAATTTTACCATATCTCGGGCAATCCTTTCGGATGCTGTTGCCTTGGTGCGAGGTGACCGCTTCTATACTGTGGATCAAACTCCGAAGAATTTAACAAACTGGGGTTTTAATGAAGCCAGCTACGATAATACAGTTGACAAAGGTCACGTATTCTACAAATTGTTCCTCCGGGCATTTCCCAGCCACTTCAAGCCGAATTCAATCTATGCCCATTTCCCTTTGGTGGTCCCCGACGAAAACCGAGAAATTCTTACACAGTTGAATTTCGCCAGGAAATACTCGTGGGACAAGCCGGCGAGGATTCCCCATCCAACCATGATCGAATCGTATGCTGCATGCGACGCGATTATCAAGAACCAAAAAGATTTTAAAGTTACATGGGGGGAGGCCATTGAATTTTTGATGCATAAGGAATGTAATTCGTTTGGCAGAGATTTCATGCTTTCTGGTGATGAGCCACCCAATGCGGCATCCAGGCAGATGATGGGAAGAGCATTGTATCACGGTGAATGGGAGGCGGAGGTTAAAAAGTTCTATGAGCAGATTACGCTCAAACTGCTACACGAAAAATCATACAAAATTGCCGGAGTCAACCAAGTGGATATTGTGCGAGATGTCGCAAACATTGCCCAGGTACATTTTGCAGTGGCCGTTTTTTCGCTTCCACTTAAGACTGGCGATAACCCACGCGGCATATACACCGAATCTGAGCTCTATATGATCATGGCGCTAGTCTTCACTTGCATCTTTTTTGATGCCGACCCTGCCAAAAGTTTCCCTCTACGCCAGGCAGCTCGGAAGGTGACGCAACAGCTTGGAGATATTGTCCTGCTAAATGTGCAGCTGATCAAGCAAACTGGGTTCCTCAGCAACATGGTTGAACGATTGTATGGAAACAATATGCTGACGGAGTATGGGGTCCATATGATTCGCCGTTTACTGGATTCGGGACTGCCCCCTGAGCAGATTGTCTGGACACACATGCTTCCGACAGCCGGCGGCATGGTAGCGAATCAAGCACAATTATTTTCTCAATGTCTCGATTACTATTTATCAGAGGAAGGATCTATCCATTTACCCGAGATTCATCGATTGTCGAAGTTGGGAACTGCCGAAGCTGATGAGCTCCTTTTGAAATAGTAAGACACTCTCTCATCGAGCCCGTTGAGTTTGACTACGTCCGTCCGGATACTGACCAGACTCTATAGTTTTCTAGAGGGATCCAGGCTTCGAGCAACGGTGGGCGTGTACAGGGAAGTTGTCACCCAGTCAACAATCAAAGACGGTGTAAAAACACTGAAGTTAAAACCAGGAGACCGTGTTGCTTGTAACCTCGTAAGTCACAACCAACGCGAAATTGTCTGGAAACGCGATTCTGACCGTTTTTATTTAGGTCAAAGCGTCTATGGACCCGAAGAAGTTCCCTGAACCCGATAAAGTTGACTTGACGCGGGATCTTGATTCATACATCCATTTCGGACAGGGCCCTCACAAATGTTTGGGCTTTGGGATTTGCAACGCAGCACTATCGACAATGCTCAAAACGGTGGGAAAGCTGGAAAATCTGCGACGAGCACCGGGTCCTCAAGGCGAGCTCAGGAGGATCCCTGGCCCTGGTGGCATTAGCAAGTATTTGGTTGCGGACTATACTAGCTACTTTCCATTCCCAACAACGATGAAGGTGCAGTGGGATGGGGAGCTACCTCCATGTGCAGATTAATCAATGTGTAGTTTGAGAACATCGGCTAGACTATCACGTTTTCATACTTTGTAGTTTAAAACTCTGGTGATGATTTGCTCGGCTGTATTATTTTCTTTCCTCACATTTCCTGGTCTCTTTCTGTATTTTGCATATTGAGATCGAAGCGAATGAATAATTTAGCGAGTAGAAAACATATATTTGTTTATGTTTGTTAATTCGACGACCAGCGAGAAGTGTGCAATCGAATATGTATATATTGAATAGAGTTCAGAGGCAAGGTCGAACGGGCGAGGATTTCGTGATGCTATCCCGCCTGATATCAGATTGGGATGCAAGTCATCCCACCTGATTGAATGGGTGATTGGGTGTTGAGTCGAGCTGAAGTCCGCAATCCCTTGTCAGACAGTGGGCAAAGCGGGCAGAGCTCTCATCAAACCTGGATTCGTAGCCGTGGTGCGCGGCAGTAGCAGTACAGTACATTACCCCGTCTCTGTGTGTATATTTAAATACATCCGTAATTTTACGCGGTGACAAACAAACAAGGCAAAATATTTCACCAACATCCAACTCTCCAACGACGACTGACAAATATCTTTCTCTCCCTCTCTCCATCATCACCATCCCCTCCGCCCTCCGTTATCAAGCTTAGGCTCAAATCCAGAGGCTCATCAATTCGGATCAATTATACAAGCTGCTGGGAATACGACCTGCACTCGTTCTCCCTTTGCTTACAATCTGATAGCGTTTACCAGCCATCCTGAACCTCATCGATCTCTCACCTTGCTCGCTAACCCAGAGTATATCGCTTTGAGCTGTCTGACACACCGGCTTGCTTGCTTCTTAGGTCAGTATTCCATTCGGAGGCTACTAACCGTAGGTCTGGAAATCAAGGAAAAAAGTCCTAAATATCTCACCCCTCCACCAATTTTGTGGCGAAGAAACGTCCTTCAAGCTACACTCGGGGAGCTACCCGATCTTATCGACCAGGTTCCTTCCTGGTAGCCGCACGACCTCCCATGGTGGACTACAAGGCTATATTCTAATATGGGGAGAATAAAGAAGGTGGCGGGCCTCAAACATGGGGCTACAATCGTAAGTTGCGCTCACCTTGCCGTTTTTATATTACTACTTGTGTTTTCCTCAGCTTCCCCGCCAAAATCATGTTGATACCGGCTGGGGTGAGAACGCCGACAACGTTGGGTGATTTTTGCGCTCACATCTTCCTTTTTGTTCCACAGTCTCCTGCCTTAGCTACCTTCGTTCAACAAGCTACCACCGTTGACATCCCAGAACTTCCCTCCCATCTCTCATTGTTCCCGCGCCGATGGCCCTTCCCAAGAGGCGATCTATATCATTGGATTGTGGTGCTGAACCGGTTTGATACGATCCTTCAACAAGTGATAGAGAAGTATGATCTCCATTTAGGGCCGCAGACAAAGCCATTTGGCCGTTTGGTCCTTCATGACACATGTGTCTCCAGCGGTATTGCATCGACGGCCGAGGCATGCGAAGCACATCTCGACAAACTTGGCTTTGGGCCTGAGGGAGATCGAGAGCTGGTCGAAGCGCTCTTATCATTTTCAAGGCTCCTGCTGGAGAAATGTGGCAATCGGAGCCTATACAGTAGCAGCGATCGCTTGAATGACCTTTTGAATACGACGTCACTTCCCCTTCTGCAGAACGTTCTCCGCCTTGGTGTCAGCTTAGCCCAACGGTACTTTTCCAGACAACGCCAATCTAATAGTACCCATTTTCACCAGAGTTTACTGGCAACACACTACAATATTGAATTGGAGCGCGTCCAAAAGCTTGCTGCGCCGTTTCCCAAACCTGCCCCTGCCAAGGTAACTGATACCTCGTCCGCTAGCGTTAAGGGAAAAGAAAAGGCTATTCAGGCCCAGACTGACCGTCGTGGTTCCGTCACCAAATGTAATGCGAACGATCTAATTGCCCTTACTAAAGGCCTCTCTGATACAGAACCCAATGGGTTCGCAGCTCATGATTGGGAGGAATGGGCTAACATTAACATGTCGTATTACTCACCTTCTCCGGATGCTGCCGAGGATGCCGCTCCAGCAGGAGCCGGCGCCATCCCGCATCCTCCAGCGACCCCAACCCCCTTACGTAGATCTTCTACTCACCCCAGCTCAAGATTGAGTAGAAGTTCCGTAACGGATGATTCACCAACGGCGCCGCCCACCAGCTCGCCCACCAGTAAATACGACGAAACAAATAGAGGAGTTAAAATTCTGCATATCCCAAGCTCTACGATTGTATCCATGAGCATAGAGGCGGTTTTGCAAGCGCACTTAGAGGAGCTTCCAAACGATGCTTCGAAGTATGAATTGCTGCAACGACTTCGTGTTGCTTATGCTGTTGCAACATCCCCTGAGAGCAGGCGTCAAATTCTTGGTGTTAGAGTCCTTGCGATCACGAACTTGGCATATATTTATCCAGAAACTCTCTTCCAGCAAAAGGTGCTTAACCATGATTCCGATATACCGAAACACCTGCAGCTTGCCTACCAGCTTGCCGAATTTGTGCATCTTGGTGTCGCCGGTGACATTACAGCCTCAACACTGAACCAGACTTTCGCACTCAACTGTCTTGACGCACTGGCAAAACATAAATCCCGATCTGCGGATGTTTGTGCGGCTCTTAGCGTGAACGTTAACCACGGAATCCTTATGTTCCTCACTCGGAAGGCTGTTGCGGACTTGGCCGTCGAAGAGAAGCCGGATGACCCACCGGAAGGCGATGACTGGAGAGAGGCTCTATTTGCACTTCTTCGAACCCTTCCGAATGCTGGTACGAGAACGCCAGAGACTCTTGTGGCAGCTGGATTGATTCCTTTGTTTGTCGATATCTTGAACCTCAGGACGGAGAAAGCAAGAAAAATTTATCCTCGGGTCATGGAATTCTTGGATACATTTGTTCACTCTGTTCGGGATGCATTGGCAACATTGGCTGGAGCCAAAGGTTTCCATGCCATTTCAGATCTGATCTCTTTCGAGACGAAGACGTCATTTGATGCTGTGACGAAGGACCAGGGAATTCCAGCGCCGTTTAGGACTGCCGCCATCGATTACCAGATTCCGTATTTCCAACAGCAATCCTTGAGGTGGCTGTTCAAGTTCGTCAACCATGTAATGCAACACAACAGCGGCGGATTTGAGCGCCTTCTTCGAAATCTTATCGATTCGCCTCCACTTCTCACTGCCCTTCGCTTGGTCCTGGAAAACTCGCGTGTCTACGGTTCTCATGTGTGGAGTGGTGCAGTAAACATTTTGAGCCATTTCATCCATAATGAACCTACTAGTTATGCCGTTATTGCTGAAGCCGGGTTAAGCAAAAGCCTTCTCGAAGCAGTGATTGGCCGGCCCATGCCAGGTGATACAACAGATGCCATTACTGCCAATACTGATGATGACCATCATGCTCCAACCGAATCGCAACCTTTGTTTATTCCAGCGTGTGCGGAGGCCAGCGACCGCGAGACTCTCAGGTCCAAGATTATTAGGCCATCTGGTCCTAAACTGGCTGAAGGAATCTTACCTTCGACAGAAGCAATTGTGTGTATCCCGCAAGCGTTTGGGGCCATCTGTTTGAACCAAGGAGGCCTAGAGTTATTCCGAAAGTCGGATGCTCTCGAAAGTTTTTTCGAGATATTCGAAAGTCCAGAGCATGTGAAATGCATGAAGAATGATTCGAATCTTGTCCGCGTCCTGGGTAACTCTTTTGACGAGCTCGTTCGACATCACCCTCCTTTAAAGACTGCGGTCATGAGTTCCGTTTTGGTCATGGTGGCCCGTGTAGTCCAATATTGCAAATCAAAAGCATGGGAATGTGGACTTGGAGCTAAGCTTTGGACCGAAGGAGAAGATAAAAAGCTTTCCATTGCCGGAGGCGACTCTTCCTCGCTCGCAGACATTGGCTTTGCGTTCACTTATCCCATCGATAACCAGCAATCCCATTCAAGAGTAGAGTCGACCGATACTGAGATGAAGAGTGCCCCGACAACTTCTCAGGATGGAAACCCTTTGACATCGAAGATGGAGAACTTTGATTTGAAGGACCTTGATAGCCACGGTCTATCTGTTGCCAGCTACATGTTCCCGGCTGTGAGGTTCCTGCATGCCTTTTTCGAGAACCACACTATCTGCGCAAGTTTTATCGAGGCTGGTGGGGTTGAGTATGTACTCGATTTTGCCACCCTCCAAAGCCTGCCATTTGACTTCCATAATACGGAGGCGAGCCAACAGCTGGCACAAGTGATCCATTTAATGGTCGAGGTCAAACCACACCTTGTGCTTCCTTCCCTTATGAAACGAACTCAGGATGCCGTTGATTGTTTAGCTCCCTTTTGGCGACAATCTAGTGCCACTGGGTTTTTCGCTCCTTTGACAAACCCGCCGAAGAAGGCGGAAAATACTGCTGAGACCCCAGAGTCCGAAGATGTGAAGGTCAAGGGAACCTATTTCGTAAAACATCTCGTCGCTGTCCATACTCTTACGGATATCCTCCGCGAAGCGTATACGCCGCCAATCTACCCGACCCGGCCTAGTCAGCAGACATCTCCGTTTGTCCAGGTAAACTTAGCCGATAAATATGTTGCTCTTGTCAAAAAACTTGGGTCCTTGCATTCAGCTTGCGTCTGGGAAGAAATATTGCTACAGAAGGATATGCCAGAATCTTGGAATGAAGCGACTAGAGTCCCTGGATATGGGTTTGGTGCAGAGGAAGGAAGTGAACCACCGAGTACTATGCCTACAGATGATGTATCTGAGCCTGGTGATGTGGCTGCTGAAGTTGCAACCGGGTCAACTGCGTCTGGAGCGGGTCCTTCCCGTGAACTTGCCGATAATGAGACGAGATCGCGAACCGCGGTTACCCAAACCTCTGTTGGTTTAGAGAAGGGCGCGGCATTCAAAAACGTAAAAACTCTCCGTTACTTGCTCAGTTCTCTGCCCTCCTCTATAACCGGCTTCTTCCATCTATTGGGACATGGACTTATCAGCAAACGACGAATGGATACTTATCAACGACAAAAGGCTGGCACCGTTGCAGATGCGATTGCATCGATGATCCTAGAAAAACTGAATCTTGATGCACCTAAGAAAACCTCTTGTGTAAAAGACCGGTTTTCGTATCTCATAGTCATATTGTCCTCGTTTTCTCAGCTGTTATTTGATAGTAAGTTTTGTTCCTTATCCGATAACCTTAAAATCCGACTAACTTTGGTTGTAGCTACCGCTGAGCGCCCTCATTCCCATTGCCTCACAATGATTCTATCGGCTTTCAAGAAGTTGAATGGGATCCAAGCAATGAAAGACTTGTGTGGTTTATTCTTGAATGAGATCAGAACCCTTGATCCCCAAGCGCAGGAGAATAGGACTAAAGACGTTCCTGCACGCCTTGCTTCTGCTTACGGGGGGATTAAAATTATTCTTAATTTCTTTTCTGAAATGACATCCGCCCAATATATTATCGACTCGGCGCAAACACAGGCAATGGCCAGTGCCAGCGGGGACAGAGATCGTCCTGACTATTTCCTTCCAGCCCAGTTCTTGGTCGAACTCCGAATGGAAGTCATACCAATGGCGCAAGAAATGTGGAGTTCAGGGTTCGTCGCAGAGGCGTCTAGTTCTATCCTAAAATCTCTGATTGATATTCTCCGATCTGTCCTTGAAGGGGAATATGAAACGGGAGCCTTCCGTCGCGGTGAAAGCCTTCCTGCTGTTTCTGCACTTACTCCCAAAACCTTTACTTGCCATAGGGAGCGTCTGTCTACGCTCAAAGAGAATGGCCATGACGAAAACCTCGCCCGAGAAGCTCTCTACCGCTGTAATAACTCAGCGTCCGCTTCTGAAGAATACTGTATCAGCCAACGGGCTCTCCGCCCACCACCTAGGAGCCCAGTTCCTTCACATGACCTAGAGCAGGTTACAAGCAGTAGTAGTCCTTCGCTCCGCTCCAGCATCTTTGGAAATCTTGGTAGCTCGCAACCGCAGTCTGACAGCGGCCAGGTTTTGGCTTCTACTCCGGCCGATATCGCGTCATTGCTCGGTCACCTCGCCCAACCAAATCTGGGCGTAGAGGAAAGCGGCACAAACCAAGCAGAGAGTCGGCCGCCTCCCAGTCAAGGTGCGCAGGGCGGCGATCAATCAAGTACTAGCGGCCTTCTCGCAATGAGCATCGATAATATCCTTAATGACCAGGAAGAGTCCCCAACTGAAGAGAGGATCGCACCTGCTCAGCGTACGGAGAGTGGTGCTCGACCTCCATCGACTGCTCAACCAGCTCCTCCAAAGCGGCAAGAAGTGGTTACCGTTGAAGACTTGGACAGTGAGCGTGATAAGGTCCGGAGCAACCTCATTGAACGATGTTTAGATGTGTTAAATGTCCATCATGACGTAACTTTTGAGCTCGCTGATCTTATTGGGTCTGCCACCACCAAGCTCCCTGATCCTGTCAATTTCCGTCGGGAGGTTGGTGAAACGTTGATGCATTTCTTGATTTCTCTCCAGATGGAAGAGAATTTCCAGTCAGCCGGAAAGAAAATAGCGGCATACGCTGGCTTGTTAGCTTTGGTCCTGCAAGATAAGGATGTGTACGAAGCTACTCTTGAAGAGTTAAAGGAAAATTTTTCGAATCTGTTTGGCTTTATTAAAATCCCTCCTGCCTCCTCCGAGAAACCTACCGAGGAATCGTGCCCCTGGATTCCGCAAGTCTTGCTCATTCTTGAAAGAGTCCTTTCGGATGACGTAACACCGCCATTAATTCGGTGGAACCCCCCAAGTTCTGATGGGTCTGTCGGACCAGAGGAGCCGGCAGAACTAGAGGAACCTGTTATCCCATTTTCTGACAAGATGGAGCTGTTTGAGACAATGGTCGATATTCTCCCTCGGATTGGGAAGGACGAAACGCTGGCGCTGTCTGTTTCCCGCATCCTCGTCATTTTGACCCGTGAAAGGGAAATTGCTGTTCGACTAGGAGAAAAGCGCAATCTCCAACGCCTGTTTGTCATGATCAAGCAATTGGCAAGCGGTTCGGACGACAGACTTCAGAATACGTTCATGCTCATTTTGAGACATATCATTGAAGATAATGACACCATTCGACAAATAATGAGAAGCGAAATTGTTGCTGGTTTCGAAAGTCGATCCCCACGGCAGACGGACACCACGGGCTATGTACGCCAATTCGCGCACCTTATTCTGAGAAACCCGACACTGTTTGTGGAAGTTACGAATGAAAAATTAAAGTTGCAGCGATACGACACACACCAACGACCTCAACTCTTGGTTCTCAAGTCGGAAACAAACGATACGGTTTCACGGCAAGATCAAAACTCTTCTAGCCAAGAGGACAATCAGACTGCGGATAAGCCAGAAGCTATCGAACCTCATACCGAACCTCAAGATGGACAGCAAGCTGAGAGCAAGGACGGCAAGGAGGACAGAGATGCCAAGGATAAGTGCAAATCAACAGAGCTCAAGGCTCCTGTTGTTGAAAATCCTGATGGCGTGATTCATTATTTGCTCTCTGAATTACTTTCTTATCGCGATGTGGACGACAAGGAGCCAACCGTGGAGTCCTCGGAGAAGTCAACGAGTCGCATAGAGTCTCAAAGCGATGTTGAAATGGCAAGCGGACCGGCGTCGCCTACTTCATCCATTTCGGGAACTCAGACTACAAAGCCCCCCAAGAAGGCCGAGAAACCTCAATTTAAGGCAGACGAACACCCGATCTACGTTTACCGCTGTTTCCTATTGCAGTGCTTAACAGAGCTATTGTCCTCGTATAACCGCACCAAAGTGGAGTTCATCAACTTTTCGCGCAAAGCCGATCCTTTCGCCACGACGCCTTCGAAGCCGCGTTCTGGCATTTTGAACTATTTGCTGAACTCGCTCGTTCCCATCGGGACGTTGGAGCATGGGGAATCTATCGCTTTCAAAAAGCGGGTCAACACTTCTAACTGGGCGATGCGGGTGATTGTAGCCCTCTGCACCAAGACAGGGGAATTTGGTGTTCCATCCAGGCGCCGCACCATTCCGAATGATGACAACGAACCTGAACTCCTTTTTGTCCGCAAGTTTGTTCTCGAACATGCCTTGAAATCATACAAAGATGCTAATGCGTCGAATGAACCTCTTGATGCAAAATACGCACGACTTCTTAGTTTAGCCGACCTATTTGATAAGATGCTCTCCGGAGGCACAAGTGGAGATGGCACCACACATTTCCCTTCGTCTACTCGCCAGGTTGCGAAAACTATGTTTGAAAAGAATTTTATTTCAGCCTTCACAGCTTCTATATCCGATATAGATTTGAATTTCCCGCCAGCAAAGAGAGCTGTGAAATATATTCTTCGACCGCTGAACAAGCTTACGCAAACTGCAGTCTTGTTGAGTGAAACCTCGAGCATTCAAACCACACCAGGGCAAACTGATGAAGATGATATATCTTCGGCAACCTCCGTATCTGATATGGAAGATGATCGAGAAGAAACCCCCGACCTTTTCCGACATTCTACGCTTGGCATGTTTGAGCCGAATCATGAAGAGGGAACAACTAGCGAAGAAGACTCGGAGGAAGACGAAGAGATGTATGATGATGAATATGATGAAGAAATGGATTATGAAGAGGATATGCCGGAGAATGACGGAGAAGTTGTTAGTGATGAAGATGAGGAAGACATGGATGGGCGAGGGCCCATTGAAGGTTTGCCTGGTGATTCTGGTATGGATATTGAAGTCCTCATCGAAGGGGATGACGATGATGATGATGAAGACGATGACGACGATGATGAGGATGACGATGATGAGGACGATGATGAGGACGATGACGATGACGATGACGATGACGATGATGAAGAAGGCTCCTTGGCCATGGACGACGAATTGATAGCAGGCGAAATCACTGGGGACAATGACAATGATAGCCTCCGAGATGGAGACGAAGGTGAATGGGAAAGCGAAGATATCTCGGACAATGAGGAAGAGGAAGACGGTATGAACCAACTAGAGAACGAATTGGGTGATTTTGCTCAAGGTGACCACGGGTCTAACCTGCAAAATGTATTACGGATTCTAGGGGAGCAAAATAGAAACCGCCTTGATATTCATCAGCTTGAATTGGATATAGGAATGGGAGAAGAACTTCACGACGACCTGATGGATGACGAAATGCAGGATGATCAAGGTAAGATTCTCATGGTTCTACTCCCTGTGAGCGATTTTTCCTCTTACGATTTTTTTAGATGAAGATGAGGAAGTAGATGAGCTGGAAGGTTTGGACGAAATTGATGAGGACGAAGACCTAATTCAGACCTTTGGTACGATTTCATTATTCCAAGTGATTTCCTTTTCTTTTTTTAATTTGAGTTGATGACTGATAGAAATTGAAACAGATTTTGACCACCCACATCGATTCATGCTGCACGACACCGACCCTGCAATGGATCATAACCGCCACCAGCATGGCCGATTCCGTGGAATACCTCCCCCCCCATGGAGCATGTTTTCTGGAGGCCTTAGTAATCGTCACGGTATTATACCCATCCCTGGTTATAGAACTCATCGGACTCAAATCCCCTCGCGTGGAAATGACGATGGGAGTAACCCGCTGCTACGTCGAAACGACCGCACTACAGATGTTACACGTGGATCCAGAGGTCCTCCCGAAGCTTTGAGTGACTGGGTCCACGCAATCGACCCCAGCCATCAGGGTCGACTCCTCTCGATGGATAGCCCGGTTACATTCATGAATGCAATTATGCAAGCTCTGGGTCAAGGTGGCGGTAGCTTTGGTGTCGTTAGTCGTCCAGATGGAGTCCATGTTCGTCTTGACCAAGGCCACGTCTTCACCAATCGTATACAAGATTTGTTTGGCCTTAGTCGACCTCCAGCGACCACCACACGTCCTCGTGACGATCCTTATCAAGCAGTCACGTTTGTTCTATCCACAACTTCCACTCGTTGGCAAGAAGAAGCACGCCTTTTGTTTAACAATACTTACTTGGAGAAAGCCCAACGAGTTGTAAATTCACTTCTCAAAGTACTTGTTCCCCCGGCTATTGAAGAAGAAAAAGTTAGACAGAGGCAATTGGAGGAAGAGCTTAAGCGACGAGAGGAGGAGAGGGTCGAACGTGAGCGTCAAGAGCAAGTCGCGAAGGAAGAAGCCGAGCGCGAGAGAAAACGCAAGGAGGAGGAAGAAGAAGCGCTACGCCGACAACAAGAAGCTGAGAGAGCTGAGAGAGCAGCTGAAGAAAGTGCGCAGCAAGTCACTGGACACCCCGAAGGCGAGCCGATGGACGACGTGCAGCCTACCGAGTCGACACAAGAGCAAGTTGCTGTTCCAGCTGAAACAGATCCTGCGGTGGCCGGCCCTTCAGAACCTGCACCCCGCATCCACACCACAATCCGTGGTCGACAACTTGACATTACCGGGATGGACATTGATCCAGAGTATTTAGAAGCACTTCCCGAAGATATCCGTGAGGAAGTCATCATGCAGCAACTCACCGAACAGAGATCGCAGGCTGCAGCATCCGGCGAAGAACCAAGTGAGATAAACCCAGAGTTTCTGGAAGCGTTACCTCCTGATATCCGTGAAGAACTTCTGCAACAGGAGGTCGCTGATCGTCGACGTCGTGAGCGGGAGGCGGCACGTCGAAATGCCGCTGCAAATGGTGGCCCAGCTGCTCCTGATGACATGGACCCTGCCAGCTTCATTGCCACATTGGATCCTTCTCTAAGACAAACAGTGCTCGCCGATCAGCCCGAAGAAATTCTCGCGTCTCTTGGTCCTGAATTTGTTTCGGAAGCCCGCGCGCTTACAGGCCGAAGGCTTGCTCAGTTTGGGGATGTAAGCAGACTAGATCAGAGCTCGCGACCTGATACCACTCAACGTGATCAAGGAGCCAAAAAAACACAACGCCGGCAAATTGTCCAGATGCTCGACAAGGCTGGTGTAGCTACCCTCCTCCGTCTCATGTTCATGCCCCTTCAGGGAAATGCACGGCATCATATAAATGACATCCTTCATAATGTCTGCCAAAATCGCCAAAATCGGTCGGAAGTGCTTAGTCTTTTACTTTTGATTCTCCAGGATGGAAGTGCGGACGTATCTGCTGTGGAACGCAGTTTTGCTCATCTATCACTGCGAGCTAGGACCCCAACAGCGTCGCAGCGAACCCCGCAGCTGAAGCGGACATTGTCATTGCCGGTTCCTGGTACCAATAACGACGTCACCCCGTTGGTTGTGATCCAGCAATGCTTGGGAGCTTTGTCGTTCCTCACTCAATACAACCCCCATATCGCATGGTTTTTCCTGACCGAACACGACACAGCAGCCGCTCTTAAAATGAAAGCACTGAGGAAAGGAAAGGCCAAGGAAAGTAGAGCCTCTAAGTTTGCTATAAACTCTCTCCTGTCCTTGCTTGATCGCAAGTCAATCATGGATAGCCCAAGTTGCATGGAACAACTCTCTAGTCTCCTCAGCAGCATTACTCAACCATTAACTCTCCTCCTACGAAAAGACAAAGAGAAAGATACGCGAGGCGCTGAGGTCGCTGCTGAAAGCGCGCAACCTGTGCAACCTGTGGAGGCCTCGTCCCAGGAAACAGAGGGTTCTCGTACTGCCGATGAGCCAGCCCCGCGTTCCGATACGATGATGCCTGATGCTGCTTCCGCAGAGCAAGAGCAAGATCGTCAGGAGGCCCAGGTGGTGGGATCGCCTGCCGAAGAAAAGGTAGAATCTTCAAAACCGGCTGAGGAGGAGAAACAAAAAAAGCCTCGTATTCCTGAGCCCCCTGTGGTACCAGAGCACAATCTTCAGTTAGTTGTTCGCATTCTTGCTGCTCGAGAATGCAATGGCAAAACATTCCGAGAAACACTTTCGACCATCAACAACCTCTCTGCTATCCCTGGAGCCAAAGAAGTCTTCGGTCAAGAGTTGATTGCCCAGACACAGAGCCTCAGCAATTCAATCCTGGTTGATCTCGAAGAACTTCTTCCCCACATTAACCAGGCGGAGACGGGCATCGAAGTGCAGGGTATGGCACTTGCCAAATTTTCTCCTGCTAGCTCTGATCAAGCCAAACTACTCAGAGCTCTGACTGCCCTTGATTATCTATTTGACCCAAATAGGCTTGACAAGGAGAGGTACAGCGAGCCCGAGTCGTCTAATAACGATGAAGTTTTGAAGACACTTTATGAAGGTGCCACATTCGGACCACTCTGGGCAAAGCTGAGCGAATGCTTACATGCCATTCGACTGAAAGAGAACATGCTCAATGTTGCCACAATACTTTTACCACTCATAGAATCACTTATGGTTGTATGCAAGAACACCACTTTGAAAGACTCTCTGCTACCAAGACATGGACGGGAATATTCTGTTTCTAGTCCGCCGCCCGACTCTGGGATGGAAGCCCTATTCTTCAACTTCACAGAAGATCACCGCAAGATTCTCAATGAGCTTGTCCGCCAGAATCCTAAGCTCATGAGTGGCACGTTCTCCCTTTTAGTCAAGAACCCGAAGGTATTGGAGTTTGACAATAAACGCAATTACTTCACCCGTCGGATCCATTCACGCGGTAGCGAGATCAGACATCCACATCCCCCATTACAACTCTCCGTTCGCCGAGACCAAGTTTTCTTGGATTCCTTTAAATCGCTCTACTTCAAGACTGCCAACGAAATGAAGTACGGCAAATTGAACATTAGGTTCCATGGCGAGGAAGGTGTTGATGCAGGCGGTGTCACTCGTGAATGGTTTCAAGTCCTGGCACGCGGCATGTTTAACCCCAACTATGCCCTATTTATCCCTGTCGCATCTGATCGTACTACGTTCCACCCAAATCGCCTTAGTGGAGTCAATCAAGAGCATTTGATGTTCTTTAAGTTCATCGGACGAATTATTGGTAAAGCTCTATACGAAGGTCGTGTTCTTGATTGCCATTTCAGCAGAGCCGTCTACAAGCGTATCCTTGGCAAATCTGTGTCTATCAAAGATATGGAGACGCTTGATCTTGATTATTACAAGTCTTTGCTCTGGATGTTGGAGAACGATATTACTGATATTCTCACTGAAAATTTCTCCGTCGAGTCTGACGATTTTGGCGAGAAGCAGACAATTGATTTGGTAGAAAATGGTCGGAATATCCCTGTGACTCAGGAGAACAAGGAAGAATATGTACAACGTGTGGTCGAATATCGCCTAGTTGGTTCCGTCAAAGATCAGTTGGACAATTTCCTGAAAGGTGAGACATTTCCACATCACAGGCACCTTTTTTATATGTGGAACAGATAATAACATTTCTTTTCGTACAGGATTCCATGATATCATCCCAGCCGATCTTATTGCTATATTTAACGAACAAGAGCTAGAGCTCTTGATTTCTGGACTTCCTGAAATTGATGTGGATGACTGGAAGAATAATTCTGAATACCATAATTACTCGGCGTCATCACCACAGATCCAATGGTTCTGGCGCGCGGTACGATCGTTTGACAAGGAAGAACGGGCCAAACTCCTCCAATTCGTTTCTGGTACTAGTAAAGTTCCCCTCAATGGCTTCAAAGAGCTTGAGGGCATGAATGGCTTCAGCAAATTCAACATTCATCGAGACTATGGGAATAAGGACAGACTGCCTAGTTCCCATACGTGTTTTAACCGTAAGTGCAATTCTGTCATTGATCACATGTTTAACACGAAGATCCATTGGCTAACTTTCGATACAATAGAGCTCGACTTGCCTGAATATGACAGCTATGAAACCCTTCGACAGCGCCTTTACACAGCTATGACTGCGGGCAGTGAATATTTCGGTTTCGCGTAAAGGCAATGAAATTGTGTATTTGCTTCTGAACTCCTTTTCTCTTTTTTGTTTCCCCTTCTTGCGCTGTTCTTTTTGTGATTTCCCTCCTGATTCGTTTCTGCACTTGTTTTTTTTTTAAAATCCCCTAAATCACAAATTCCTTCCTCTTTTCCATCTCCATGACCTATACCTTTGTTTAGTCAAAGCATCTGGCGGCGCCCTCACCTTGATATTGCGTTTTATTCGGCTTTTTTCTGTTATTTTGCCTGATTCCAAACTGTACACTCGGAACTGCACGGGTATTCGATTTGTTGTATCGAAGGGAAAGAACGGGATAGGGGAAGCTGTACTTTCAGTTTTTCTTTTCTTTGTACCTCAGATGACGGGGACCGTATCTCAATTTCCTTTCTCTTGATATTTGTGCGCTTGGATTGCAGCAACAGTGGCGAGAGAAGGTGACAAGCTGGAGTGCAGGCCAGCCGTCGTGCCCACCTTTCATTGTTGCTGGTAGCCCCTGAGCTCAATATACACCCTTTGCTACCCATGTATCTAGCTAGCTTAGCACTCCTAGAATTAAAAGTAGAGGTCTCTTCCATGTTTGCCTGTCGTCAGTTTGTCCTGTAGTTACCAAATCAAGCAATCCGGTGGTGCGTGCCAAGACCTGTCAGCAAGGAAATAAAGTTTGGCAAAAATACAACATCAAATGTTCGTTCTCTTTTCCACCGTGTCTCGATCTCTAAGTCGGCGGACAAAACATTGATATCAAGTATATATATATATGCGCCCTGTTTGCCCAGGAGCTTTCCCCTCTACTTCATTGACACCTCTGGTGCTGAGAACGCACAGGGAAGAACGTTGTGCCATCTCCCTCCGGATCTGCGAAGTTGAAGCCCTCTCATTATGGCGACCAACTCCATCAAGCTCCTGACTGGTAATAGTCATCCTGAGCTTGCCCAGCTCGTTGCGGATAGGTATGTTCGTCCCCTTTTGTTATCCATACAACTGTAGTCTTTTGTTTTTTTGTTTAAAAGGCATGTTTTGGTGAGGTTGGGAGAATACTCGCCTTGCCCCGTTTCGTGCTATTTTTGAATATGTGGCGTTTCTCTCTATATCCACTTTGACCTTGGGATGCTCATACTCTTTTGAATGATTGGCCAATTTCAACATCCCCTCACTGAGCCAGGAGAACTCGATGGCATTCTGTTTTATATGAAACGAGATGTTATGTTACTTTGCTCTTTGTTCCCCGCACAGCGCAAATGCCTTGAGGATAGCCGTCACTCAATCTCCCTTTTGCTGTTTGACTCTGTGCAACGGTGTAGATTTGTTTTAGGACCTTGGCTAGATGGAATATCTTTTACTGACTGCTTTCACGATGCGGTTCTGTGAGGGCTGTTACCCTCCAAGCCGCTACTTTCGTGCATACCCGCAGACTTGGTATTGAATTGACCAGGGTTATGGTGCTACAGTATTCGAATCAGGAAACTAGCGTGACGATTGGGGAGAGCGTGAGAGATGAAGATGGTATTTACCCCTTTGCCTGCCTTCAGGGGTTGCATTTACAACTCCGTTGGATTTTTTTTCTGCAGACGATAGTGTCCTTGATGAGCGGGAATACCTCTTCCCTTCCTTGTGAATTACTTGCAATATCGTTGAGAGTGAACTTGCGCCGAAGTTGTGCATACTGACAAAAGTGATAGTATTCATTCTACAGTCCACCCGCCCAAATGATATTAACGACGGACTCATGGAACTCCTCATCATGATTAATGCCTGCAAGACTGCTTCCGCGAGACGCATCACTGCCGTAATACCAAATTTCCCCTATGCCCGTCAAGATAAAAAGGACAAAAGCCGCGCACCAATCACCGCAAAGCTCATGGCAAACATGCTTCAGACAGCAGGCTGTAACCACGTCATTACCATGGACCTTCATGCAAGTCAGATTCAAGGCTTCTTCAATGTGCCCGTAGACAACCTCTACGCCGAGCCAAGTATGCTGCGATGGATTCGACAAAATCTGGACGTTGCCAACTGCGTAATCGTATCCCCTGATGCCGGAGGCGCAAAGCGTGCCACAGCCATGGCCGACCGCCTCGATCTCCAATTCGCGCTCATCCACAAGGAACGTGCAAGGCCCAACGAGGTCTCACGCATGGTCCTAGTCGGCAATGTCAAGGATAAAATTGCCATAATCGTCGATGACATGGCTGATACGTGCGGCACGCTCGTGAAAGCAGCCAGCACGATCATGGATCATGGAGCCAAAGAGGTTGTTGCCATAGTCACACATGGTATCCTAAGTGGAAAAGCCATCGAGACGCTCAATAACAGCATACTTTCGCGTATTGTGGTCACGAACACTGTCCCGCATCAGGAGAAGAAGGAACAGTGTGATCGATTGGAGACCATCGATATCAGCCCGACACTTGCAGAGGCCTGTCGGAGAACGCACAACGGGGAATCGGTTAGCTTTCTGTTTTCGCATGTGTCGTAGCATTTTTTCTTTTACGTAATTTTCGGTTGGATGGTTGGCAGTTATCATTTTTGGGGTCTCTATGTTTTCGTCATCTTGGTGTTCTCTCTCGTTTCTTCTGTTTCCGGCTCGATAATTTCTCCACTTTGTTAGATCTATTTATGCTAAAGATCAGCACTCACAAATCGATATATGAATAGGCGTTTTTAATGTGATTCAAGACGTCTTCCTGTTTCGTCATTTTTCCGCTCCTTTCAGTTCTATCTTCCTCCTAATTCCATGCCTTTTCCATCGTCTCTTCCCACCTAAGAATCGCCATCACTTACACATACATAACCTGAAAGACAGAACGTAGGCTTTCCCTTCGTAACTTGGTGAGTGCTGGCTCGCGCTGGTGAAAGGGATATTGTAAAAAAGAACCTTTTGTGCTGGTTAGATGTGATCAATCGTACCGCAGCATGAGAATTCGGTTCCCCATTCTTTGGAATAAGTGATAATGAAATTCAGAGCCATCATTGCTATTGGGAAAGGTCCTGTCTACAACAATCCGATAGCGAGATAGGGATTCACCCTAGACGTTAATGCGTGGACCGTAGGATCTAGTTGATGGTAGAAAGAACTCGGGAAAAACCTGAAATCAAATTTTGGATTTGAATGTCTCTCTCGCACCGATGGGTAAGAGAGGCAAGGATTTCTGAAAAGGCGAGGGAAAAAAATACTATAACATGCTTTCCTTAGGCGAAAAAGAAAAAGAAAAAAAAAAACAGAATAATTCCCATTTGTGTATTTGATTGATTGCCCAATCCCGCCACGCCATCTCATCGTGAAGCATCATCCCTCGAATACTTGGTATTCGTCTATCGAGTTCAAACACATGGAAAAAAGACTCCCACCCCAACTTCAACCTCAACTCTCTCCCCTCGGAATACCCGTCAAGACACCTTCCTCCTTGGGCCCCGCATTACCACTACTTCCGCATCGACGACGCTCTTCGCTTTCGGAGCTCCACACGCTTGGCCTTCTCCTCGTGCACACGCGCAGCCAACAGCTTGGCATAGTCGTTACTACATTACCAACGAAAAAGAAAACCATCAGTATAATTTCACCCATGAGTTCATTGCCACCACTGTGATCTAGCAGCGGTGGGCTTGAAAGCAATGTCAAAGATTTAAGGGTCCAGCTTACGCTTGTTCCTTGGCAGCCTCGGCGCGGCGGCGCTTGAGGGCGATCCGCTGGCGCTTGCGTTGGAGGCGCTGGGGGGTGACAAGACGTTGAATCTTGGGGGCCTTGGTATATTCCTTTCCATTCTTGCCAGTGACGGTGCGCCGGATAACGAATTTTCTCACATCATCCTTCTTGTCGAGACTGAAAAATTTGCGGATCTTGGTGGCACGCTTGGGGCCGAGTCGCTTGGGGTTGACGACATCTGTAAGGCCGGGGAGTTCGCCTTCGCCCTGCTTGACGATGCTGAGGGCCAGGACGCTGAGGTCGAAGTTGGTAATAGCTGAAAATCGATTATTTTAACGCGTTAGACAACGGTTCGTACTTTTCTAATTCTCTTGCTCTCATATAACGCAGGGAATAAGAGAGTACATACCTCCACGAACACTCTTGCGCTTTCTCTCTCCCGTTCGGCGGGCGCGGTAACAACTTTTTATTCAAGTTAGCACAGAAGCCCCCTACAATTTGCAATATAAAGCGAATTGAGTATTACCTGTGTCCATCGCTGAGGAGCAGTCTAACACGTGTTGGGACCAAGACTGCGGCAAAAAATAAGTTTTTAGTTTCCTTATTTTATCCTCACTTCCAGCTATCCTTTCCTTGGTCGAATTATAACATACCACCCTGCTTCATAGGGAAACCTGTTCGTTTCAATACAAGAGTCAGCAAATCATTTCCCACGCATCTGACACTTCCAAAACAGTCTTCCTCCAAAGGTTCTTGCTTATCCGCCCGTACCCTGCTTGTCATTTCCACCAGTGATCCTGAACAGATATCCTTTGAATTCATCTCCTAGAGAATCGCCGGGAATCTATAAACACCACAGCAAAGGAATCAGCACGAGGGTCCACTCCAAAGACAATCATTTCCAACCAGCAGCTAGACCATAGGGACGCAATTCTTGCCCCAGGGATACCGCAGGGGAGGGAAGATGTGGGGGTAGAGGGAATTGCTGACTTCGGATCCCATGCGCTTCTCCATAAACGGCCGGAGTTTGCGTTCATCTTCAATCTCGATCAGTTTCTGAGACCCATTGGCCGGGTAGGATATGTTGAGCTTCATCTTGACGAAGGTTCCGCGGTCAAGACGGGAGGCGCAAAGTTGTCGGTCAGGAGGGAGGTCGGTCGGTTGAGGTCGTCGTCGTCAAGCGTTCGTGGTATCGAATCTTTTGTTGGTGGGTTTTGCTGGCGTAGCGAATTTGCAGACTGTGGGCTGTTGACTAAGCGACGCCTAACCTCAACAGGATGGTCATATTATATAAGCAGCCCTATACGCCAAGACGCACTATTTTTCGATGTTTTTTTTGGGCCATGACGCACGTGATCTTGATTCCGGCTCGACTCTCCTTGATATCACAGCTTTGAGATGAGATAAAGATCCAAATACGTGACTTTTGTATTTCTGCTATGAGATATGTTTAGCGCATTATCTCTATATTAAATATTTAGAAGGTATCTCCGAAAACCACAAAAGATGTACTTTTTTTTCGAGGTATCTAGCAGGTTGTGCAGGTGCAATACTAGTATCTATATCTCCCCCTCTCATATTACGACACTCCACGGCGTCTAGGAATAGAAAGCGTTAGGTATAGATATCCCTAAATCACACAAACACTGGTGAGTCCTATGCCTTGGGCATCACATTCTGTTATCAACATTTGTGTGCATTAATTGACCTGCGCGGTCTCAGCGGACTGCAATATATGGAATTAAAAGGGGAAATAAAACACAGAAGGGTCTGTTCTACTGCAGTTTCTCAGTTATGAAACTGAGAGGTTGATAGGAGGAGCTTTGGAAGTTTTGAGTTAAGTAAGATTTAACAACAAATATTTAGGGGCTGAACCCATCTGGTTAAAACATTGTCGTGCCAGGGTAACATCTCTCCAGACTTGATATCATGGATAGAAGGTAGATTGTTCTGTTCGATGAAAAAAGTGCATGTTTTGTTCTGTAGTAATTCAATGTCGAAGGCTCGCTGGGGGATCTCAAATCAATCATCTGAACTTTTGTACTGACGACGTTCGTAGGCATCTGTTTAACCCTCACTCCATCGCCAGCTCAATGCCAACAACCCAGATCAGAGCAAGTATTGGAATATCAAAGCTGCAGAGTTATTTCGGAGCCTTCCCTCTGCTAGAGTAAGCGCGCTCTGTCTTTGCCTGAGCAAGTGACAATACCCCACTAGCATGACATAGATGCTCTGTCCAGCAACTTCGATCAGAAATCTGCACATAATAATACTATGATGGGAGACGGTTTCGTTTATACGGCCGTAATACTCGCTGAGCGTATCAATATGAGCAAACACTCTCCGCTCGTGCTGGCAAATTATACACTATCCTGCCAGACGCAATACGTGATTGTGATGGGCTCTCCCTAAGGTATGTCCACAGTCCAGATTGCATGGAAAAGGCGTATAAGGTGGTCTGGCATAAGCCGGGCGACTTTTCCTTTGATTATCTTCACCTTGGCCGAGGAGCTTTTGGAGGCATCGTTTTGCAGGCTTGCCAGCGCATCTCACGTTGCGTTTTTTGCAAGGTAATGTTAATCCATCACCTCTCTCCCACCCTCTAGGGGTTTATTTGTCTGAGATTAATTCTTTTGACTTATTGCTGTTCGCGAGTCTGCAAACAAACTCTCCTGCGTCCTCCATTTATTGCTGGGCCAAACTAAAATCCCCAACGGCTGCCGGAAGCCGCTTCAAACCCCCTTCCCACGCAGGTATGGACGATGTGCTGGTTGGGAGATAGCTCCAGTGTCTTTTTTTATATGTCAATCTCCGAAATTCCCTTTAGACATGCATTTATTTTACGGCCATGGGCCATCGTTTTCAAATGCCAGCTCCTCCCCGCGTGAGATTTCCAATTCGAGCCGATCCGGTTACTTCTTGGCTAGTTTTGGTGATTCGAGTGGCAGTAACATTCCAAAGATACGTCAGGTTTTCTCCAGGGAGGAGTGTGGACCGAATGGCTTTGTTTTGAGGTACGGATCCAGCTTTTTGCTCGTTGCAAATCATTATTTATATTGCTCTTCCGGATTCATCAGCCATAGTGCACAGGCTAAAATTAGCGTACTTTTCTTGACGAAAATATGGCAGAGTCATCCCATGTGGGCCGCTGTAGTTGACATTGACGAAGCTCAAAGGGTTTCAAACATTAAATGGGCTCGATTGCCGGTTGCAGACCTGAAGACCCAACCCACTGTTAAATGCTGTTGGATGATCAAAGAAATTACATGGACATTAACAGACCAAGATGTTTCATCGAAGTTCACTATCCTCACCGCATCGTTTACGCTCTGGGATATTTCGCGATCATTCGAACAAACTATGCAAGCTGCGAAGGGGTCTGTTCTAAGCCTTCTATCCATATCCACGAACCCTAAGCGGGAAATATGGATCGCAAATTACATGGAGTTAATCGTTATATAGTGGTTAGATAGGCCGTTTCTTCCAATCTTCAATGATGATAACGAAGCTCCAAAAATAGGTTCTCTGGGTTCTTACAAAATCGAGCCGTGCGCTGGAGCCGAATTCGAGGGAGAATAGCTTGTCTCCAATTCTTTCATCCTTAATCGGATACGCCAGAGACAACAAACGGTTACTAGATTAACGAAGATGCAATATTATGGTTAAAGGACCAGGATTCAGGTTGACTTAGCCATGCTTGTGCAGTTGGTCGCAGAAAAGAAGATTTTGGGAACAGGATATGCTTTGCTCGATTCCCGAAGAATTCCTGTTTTGGCAACTGTGAGCCATGGTGGCCATTTGATGCTAGCAAGCCGAGGCTATTCGAAGTGTTGGCGGATTTACTTTGCATGATGTGCATCTTGATCCAACAGCCCACAAAATGATAGGTCAGGAATATTTGATGATGTTATTACACTGTGGCTCGACTAGACGGGCCACTCAACTTCATGAGCGCTTGTCCCAACAGCGCCTACGATAACTCTGGTCTTTGAGTCAGTCACCGACCGCTTATGGAACCCGGCGCTCAAGCCGCAAACGACACAAAGGCGGGGCTATCCCATTTGATAGCCGCAGCCCTGACCAGCGTTGGGAATCACACAGGATTATTCGCTGCATGTCTTATTACGCGACATGGCCGCGTCCAGTTTGGGACAATTGGATAATCGTTTTTGGCTTCGATTAGCCTTTCTTAATTTTGTTGTCGCTGGAGCTGGCATTGTGAGATTCTTGGAGGACGAAACGAGATGTGATGAACCAGCAAAGACGATTTTATAGATGCTCTCCGCTTACCGCCTCTGTGTTTTCAATGGCTTCCGGCGCTCCATGCTCTTTGTTTATAAAAGCGACGGAAAATGACGCGCATTTTCTATCATTATTTGTACTACTCTCTTCTGATATTATTGTCGCTTCCTGTTGTCCCGCACTCTCCGCCATGCCAATGCGGTCTATCCAATGGCCGTTTGTAATTTCCCTCTGTTGGAATCAGCAATTCTTCATCACGTTGTTGCAGCGCCAGCCGGATTGGATGTCTCACCTCAAAGGACCTGTGCAGTTTTCCGCTTTCATCGTGGACAAAGGAACCAATACAATAGTTTAAGTTTTGTGGACAGGACACTACAACAACACAGGCTGCAGCCCAGCCCACGACCGCGATTGTTTGCAACTGTTGGGTTGCGCAAACCAGAAACAAAGAAGAGCGACTAAAATAAACCAAACGTGGGTTTTTCTAACAACAAAGGATTTTGACGCCCGTGAAGCGACCCTATTCGCCACGTTCAAGCTTAATATCTTACAGAAGCCAATTTGTCCATTCAGAATGCAAGAATTCGAGTTAGGAGTTTCCATTCTTCCTCACTCGTTCGTGTCTTCTATGTCCTGCTTCGATATCTTGATATCTATCTTTTCTTCTTCCTTCGCTATCTTTTTCTTTTTACTCTTTCCTTTCCTTTTCTTTCCTTTCTTTCTTCGTTTTCATTTCTCTCGTTTCCTTTCCCTTTCTCGAACACCCATTCATGTCTTGGGATCGAGTTCTCCCAAAACCTCCCGCTCTGCATTATGATCCCACCGGCCGTGATTTGCCCACCAGGACCAGCACCCCAGTGGATCATCGAATTATGACAGACAGGTTCTCCAAGATTGCGGCTGAAGACAATAGTCACCACTCTGTCGGTTTAGATGGCAGAGTCCTGGCAGCTTCTCTATCAAGAACCACAATCCCAAGCCCCGAAAACCCCATATTAGCTGATATCCAGCCTCTCATCTCACCAATTGCCAGAAAGAGAACTTGTTTATTGATCACATCCGAAGCTGAAAGACAGGAGCGATCCGCATCCTCAAGTTCTTCAAAGTCCACATCGTCGAAAGAATCATCTGGCCTGCAATTTTGTCTCTGTCAGCCCGATCCCAAAATCCCTCGCCCAAGAAATGGTCCGTTGGTCTAATTCCTTTGTCGCAACTTGTTTTTACCTCCGAATGAAAGAAGGGCGGAACATATGTTCCACCGTGTCTATCCCTTTCGTTCTATGTTTTTGTTGCGTTGCTTCTTAGCCTCACAGTGAACAGTATGTTAATTTTGTTTATCCTCCGTTTATTAGCTTTCATTCTTTTCCGCCAGCATTTCCAAGCATCAGTCGTTGCCCAAAATCCTGGCCTTGCAAATCCCGAAATATCAAAGATCATAGGTGAAAAGTGGAGGACTCTTCCATTGGAATCGAAGCAAGATTGGAAGAATCTGGCTGAGGTGAGAAATTCGTATTTCTTTTGCAACGTTAACATTTCCCCCAATTATAAATAGAATGGAAAAGCAAAGTATAGGGTTTTGATGGTGGACTAGGAGGAAAAAGCTCGACACCAGCAGCAGTACCCTGATTATCGATACCAGCCTCGCCGTTATGGCAGAACTGGTGGCAACAGCGCAGCGACTAGCTCAGGCATCAGCAACAATCCGACAGGTGCTTCTGTATGCAACAGATGCGGTGGGCGGGTCATGAATCCTCCGTCTATGCCAAGTACACCATTCACCTCTTCTGGCTCAAGTCCGGTAACTTCCACCTCGTCCTCCTTTCAGTCAATTCAGCCTGTGCAACGAGATTTTCAGGTGAGACGGTCTGAGGATAGCAGTAAGCTGCCAAGTCCTATCCAAGTAACAGGGAGTATGGATCGTCGAGTAGCAGTCCGTAACCAACTTCGTGAAGAGGCTACGCCTTTGGCACCTGATGTCAAGCGACGGCGTTTCAACGGGAGCGGCATATATGTTCCTAGCCGTGATTTGAGTCCCGAATACCCATACTCACCCCGAAGCACATCCCTTCCGCGGCCGGATAGTCTTTACCTCAGAACTCCTTATTCATCAGGGGCTACTCCGCCTGGTCGTGCTTACCGGCATGGAGCGACCCAGCATATACCTCTTGATCCCAGTTTGACCCTTCCACCACTTCAGACAATGTCTCTCTCACAACAAAACCAATTTAACGTTGAGGCAAAAGTGATGAGCATATCGTTTCTCAGCAAGATCAAGGTTCTCGCGCGAATTTCTCCTCCAGTAATGGCATGCCCCTCCAAGGGACACTCTATCAGACGAGGAGCTTTGGTGGCAGTTGAAGGGCAAAGGCGAGAGTCTGTCAAGTACATGATCCAACACCTGCAAGCCGCTCTATCAAAGGATGGCAAAAACATTGTCCGAGTATTTGAAAGCTCAGAAGCAAAACTGCAGCCATGCGACAGTGAAACGACAGAAGATTCCCGTGATCCAACCGTCCAATATCTTAAAACAATATCTGCCTGGCACACGATATCCAATGAAATCGTGTCTTTTATCAAAGGGGGACCAGAGTCACCCACACAGTCAGCTGCACCGGAGGGGTGTGCCACCAGCATATCCCCTCGGTCTATCATCCCCAAAACAGCCCAACTTCGCATCAGCTCTCCAGATGTCCTTTCCCCCCTGACTGCACCTACGCTAGCGCCTACACCCACATCCGCGTCCGCGCCGGCAACTGCATCGATGCCCGCAGAATCCGAATCAACGTTCCGATTTGCTCTTGTACCACGTTACCAGCTAACGACTGCCGACACCCACGCATGTGCCATCCCCATCAACGACTCTTACACGCCCACCGACCACTGGCAATGGATGGCCTCGCTCTGGCGCGGGTGCGCTGGCCCTGATGTCACAGTATTGATACGAGACTGCGAAAAGGAAGAGCTGGACAAATTTGGCGGCAATCCGGTCGAAATACGGCTAGAGGAGGCTCGAACTCTAGTTGTGCGGCAGGTAGGCAATTCGGCACAGGGGATTGAAGAGAAGGCGTTGAGAAGGGTGGGGTTTGAGGTTGAGGAATTCTTGAGGAAATAGAGGTATTTTTATTTTTATTTTTTTAGTTTACTTCTTTTTATTCTATCGATTACCAGGCTTCATAAACTTATTAATTGCGTGGGGGAACTGATATCCAATTGTCTCTTCTCCATCTCCATCGCTTCGATTGCTTTCCTTCCATTTTATAAGTGCTCTCAAAAAAACGAAAAAAATTATCACCAGACCTGGCTTTTGCATACAAAATGGACGTCATTTTCAATTTTTGCCATGTATCATTTGCCCTTTCTTCGTCCGTGTTTCTATGCTTCCTTAGTTTTCTGTCACTCCCCTTTTTATCGTCTGCGAGAGTGACATTATCAGCAAAAAGACATCACCTTGATATGCATGGGTTCAGGATCTGCCACACAGATGTACCGTGTGTTTTAATCTTCTACTATATTTCTTTCTATTGCTTTTCTCATTTTACCTTTTGCATCATGACCCTTGATGGCCAGTCTATTAGATTTACTGTTCCGCTTTACCTACTTATTCTTCCCGTTCTATTGGCCCTTACCTGAACGGGGGAGCCGTCTGTTATGATTAGCGTTACTTGATTACCATTAGTTATTTATAATAGAAATAGCTTAGAGTTCTTGCAAGCTCCACATCCGTGGATAGTTTCGAGACTTTTTCCAAATGTGAAGATTTTTTGAGCCGTGCTAATCGACTTTATGGAACGCAAGACAAGAGCGCTTGAAGTAAATAATATCCAACACTTAACTAACCCTGCCAGAGCCGCATACAGAGTGGACATCTCTCCAGTATGCGATCAGACCAAGCTTCGGAAACCAGGTCCCTACGCTGATCCCAAATTTATTGCTGGCCAAGTCCTTTTCGTGTGCTGTCCATGGTTGGTAAGTCTAGGTTGAACTGGGTTGCTGGGTCCAAGGCGGGGCGATCAACTCTATCATGTCCACACACTACTAATAATATGCTCTCGCCTGCGCAACACTGGGGACGAAGATGAAGATGTTAGTAGTAGACTTAACGTCAGCCAAGGGGTACGGGCTGAGAAACGTGAAAAAGTGGCCATTATTGAAAGCATAGAGGCGGGGTTGGTGTTATTTGTATGTGTGCGGCCTGATCCAACCGTGAAAGTTTATAGATTCAGTTTTCACTAGCGAGGTTGGTGAGTGAGTTACCTTTCTTTCTCTTTGACTTCACCAGCATCTCGTTAGCTTCGTTGTGTTCTGCCGCCAGACGGTGAGTTCGCCCGCCAATCCGGAGCCCGCAGCGGCATCCTTGCTGTGGGCAAGCTCGACAACAAGTTCTCACCTCACAAGTGACAGAACAACACATTCACCCTCCGTTGGGCGCATCTAAAGGGGAAACGGATATAGCATGTGGAGCGTTCCGGTTTCCTCTCAGCTCTTCCAACCCTCCCGTCGCATTGGCTCCCGAATTCCCCCTCTCGACACTCCTTTAGAAACCGCTGATGAACCCATCTTGCTGGAGTTCCTCTGTCGGATAGCTCCTCCTGACTGGAAATGAGCATCTCTAACATTGACCCGGCGTTGCCAACGAATGGCTTGCAGCAGGTATGCGTCATACGAGATCACTTCTTCTGCGCTTTGAACTCACGCTGATGTCTTATCCAACGAACAAGGATGTTCCGCTTGTAGAACAGCTCCGTGCTGCGATTGAAAACATCTTACCTGATGGGCAAGCCGTTCCATCATCATCTTCATCTGCTCAGTCGGAGTCCACGTCCCCTTCTGCACCCTCCGTGGCATCAACAGTTGCATCGTCCCCACCTTCACCCGATCTGATCCTTGAAAAGAAAATATTATTAAGTGAATTGAGCCATTTTATTCCCGTGGGGATTCTGCAAAGATGCGATGGCCTGGCCAGTAGCCAGGATCCAAATGCTCTAGTCCGGAAATCGACATCTTCCTACCCAAAAGCCGAGCTCTCGCGGCTAGAACAAAACAATTGGATTCGAACGTCTATCTGCCAAAACGACAAGTTTCCTGGGTGGAGCGCTGTCCGCATCTACGCTCTTCCTGATGACGTTGGGAGGAAACATGTCCAGCGATCAAACGGCACGTTAAGGGGGTTTCTTAAACTAGTGATGTCAAAATTGGACACATCGACAGAGGCATGGGAAGGCAACTTCGACCCCTATGCACAGCCAGATGTGGGAGCGGTGGAGGATGAGTCCTTATTCTACATTTTTAATACCCTTGACTCGCCCAGTCCTGATATTGAAAAGGTTTCTGATCCCCACGCCAGGGCTGCGATGGACGAGGTTCTTTGGAAAGTGCACGACTACGTCGGAGGACCTGATGAAAATATAGGCGTTATTGGTCTGAAAACTCCTCTGTATGCCTACCAACGCCGTTCTGCAGCTTATATGATTCAGAGAGAGTCGGAGCCTGCACAGACATTGGATCCTCGTCTACAAACCCTCCATGGACCGACGGGAAAACTGTATTATTACGATAAGGAAGAAGGTTATATTTTTCGTGAGAAACGACTGTACTCTGAGGCTTGTGGCGGTAAGACTCTTGCGTCGTTGAATTTTTTTACTTTTATTTCTTGTGTGCGTGCGTGTATGTGTAAGGGACGTACTCATAGGAAACACAGGCATCTTGGCGGAAACTATGGGCTACGGCAAAACCCTGATATGTTTGGCCGTTATACTTGCAACTAGGGGTCATTTCCCTCGTATTCCACCCTCCCATACGGAAGGTCTTCGTCGTGTCCGTAACAAGACAGGGTCATTACTTGAAATGGCTGCAGCAACTGCAGGCCGTTTCTCTCTCCCGTGGAAGTCGTATTTTGAGAGATTAAACGCTTCGGGGATGTATTTTGACAATTGCATATCGGCGTGTGAATCAAATCGTGGAAGCTATGAGATATCTAGGCCACCTCAGAGGTATAGAAGCCGGGAAACGACACCCAAAGTGGCAGCTACTAAATTGCAGCTATGTTCCGGCACCCTTATCATCGTGCCGTCAAATTTGGTTGACCACTGGTTAAGTGAAATTGACAAGCATACTCAGGGTCTGAAGGTACTTGTTCTCCGTGACAGTCGTTGTGCAACTCCCCAACCAGAGCAATTGCTCGAATATGATATTCTATTATTTTCAAAGCCACGTTTCGAGTGGGAAGCTGGTGGGCGGCGTTCCTCGGGTTTGTCGATGGAACCGACGGAAGAATCTCCACTAAAAAAGCTACACTGGCTTCGCGTCATAGTCGATGAAGGCCATAATTTCGCCGCTAAAGGTGGGCGAAGTACGGCTGCTCATACTCTTGGTCAACTTCACATTGAGCGACGTTGGGTTGTCTCAGGTACCCCTTCGCGTGGACTATATGGCATTGAAGTGGCGCTAGCCTCTCAGGAGACTGCCGAGGGAGGACCCGACAAGCAAGAAAGAGATGCATTCTCCATTTTACAAGCTCGAAAAAAGTCTGCCAATTTTTTGGAGGAAGAGCTAAAAAACATTGATAGACTCCGATCCATCGTTGTTGACTTCCTTGGCCTGAAGCCTTGGTCAAACTCAAGGGCAGACGACCCAGCCAGCTGGACCAAATATATCAAACCCGTTGGCCTGGATGGGAATCGCAGAGCTTCGCCGTCTCTCCGATCTACACTCCAATCCCTGGTGGTACGGCATCGAGCGGAGGATGTAAATAGAGATCTAACCTTGCCTAAGCTGCACAACAAGGTGGCCTACTTGGAACCTTCATTCTACGACAAATTGTCTCTCAACCTTTACATATTCACTCTTACAGTCAATGCTATCACTTCTGAGCGGACGGGTGAAGATTACATGTTCCATCCGAAGAATCGCAAGCATTTAAGTGTCCTCATTAACAATCTGCGACATGCTGGTTTCTGGGCTGGGTTTGAAAAAATGGAGGTACAGAAGTCAATAGATGTAGCTCAGGAATATCTCGAAAAAAATTGCGACAAGATTGACCCTGTTGACAAAAGGAGGCTGTGCGAGGCCATTACCGTCGCCCAAAGGGCAGTAAACTGCAGTTCTTGGAACGCTCTTAGTAAATTTACCGAGCTGGGTGTTTTCCTGGACAACTTTCCAGATCACGCACGAGGTGCATGGGCAATCGATGCCTGCGACGAAAATTCTCAACCCTTGCTCCTTGGGATCTCCCAAGCCAGACAAGCACAAAAATTTGTCACTTCAAATCTTTGTTCTTTTGACCCAGCCGAAGGTATCGTTGGTGCCGGAATCCGGACGCGAAGTCAAATGCGTGGGCGAGGGAGCTCACAGGATAAAAAGCCCAATGATAACCTCGTTCACCAGCCAAAACCTGAAGGAATCGAAAGTTCGCCGTCGAAGAAATCATACTCTCTCGGGCGCTTCAGGACCCTTCCATCTGAATCATCTTTAAATCAAACTAAGCTTGTTGCCACTGCTTCAGCAAAACTCACATATTTACTAGATAAGGTGATTGAATTTCAGGAGAAAGAGAAAATCATTATTTTCTACGAGGGAAATAACACGGGCTTCTACATTGCAGAAGGGCTTGAGCTTCTTGGTGTTGAATTCCGAATTTATGCAAATACTTTGAAAACGAAGACTCGGTCGGAATATCTCTCGCTGTTTAACGAAACGGAAACTGTTCGGGTCTTACTTATGGACCTTCGTCAAGCCGCTCATGGTCTTCATATCGCGTGTGCCTCGCGAGTTTTTATCGTGAATCCGATTTGGGATCCCAACTTTGAAAGCCAAGCAATCAAACGAGCTCACCGTATCTCGCAGAACAAACCTGTTTACGTAGAAACCCTTGTTCTTAAAGATACACTGGAAGACAGGATGCTGAGGCGAAGGAAACAAATGTCGAATGCAGAATTGCGACACGCGGAGAAGGATCCGTTAGACGACCGCACGATGAGCGACATCATCCAGACCGAAGAGGTAATCCCTATCCCCGAAAGCGATGCCTCTGAGAGACCAGCATACTTAAAAATGCCTGTCGGCTTTTTCGATCGCCACAGATTACCAATTCCTGACAATCACCTGGATGAAGATGTCCGTTCTGTGCCGCCGCTATCTCTGCCATCAGCACCACCAGTGTCTCTTGACCTAGTGGCGACCCCTAATAAGAAACGAAAACTCCTCGGAGAGTTCCCTTGGATAGAATCAGATATCGAAACATCATCGGAGTCTAGTCCAAACAGACGGAAACGTAAACCGAGACAATCGAACGGAAATTTGGAGACTATCAATGGCATCGTGATGGAAGCTCGCCGAACGAGAACACCACCCTCTCGGCGTGTTGCGGCCTCCCAAGCTGGATTTTAGACTTAACGAAGGCGGCTCTTCGACTAATACCAACCGCGCCTTCCCCGCGTCATATGATGGTCCAAATGATACAACTGAAAAGAAGTCTACATGACGAAAATTCTCATTCACTCCCCTTGAGCACTCACTTACCGCCATTAGGTACAAGTAGGGGCTTCTTTGGTACTGGGAATTTTTGCTCGACCCAGTATGTCGCCTCAGTTATTCCCTTTCTTTCCTTCCTTCTTTTTTCTCAATTATGTCGGGATCCAATACGGCGCATGTACCGGTTGTTCTGGGCGGACGGGTGGTACGGATGTGGGTATTAATATGCGGGATACAGGAACCGGAATTGTGTCTACGAAGTCGACGGCGGACCACAGACATGTTTGGGGAGCTGACATGTACCATATCTACTTACTAGCATATATTTGCATGTTGTATGTGCATGTACTATTGATTTAAACTATGTATGTAGCGATTGCTATGTAAATACCTATTTTACATGACGTAGATACAGCGAAGCTTTGGCAGTTAAGCTTGCTTTAAAAGCGTATGGAAACGCATACATCTAACCAGGAATACAACGCAGTGTATACTGTCCTTATTGCTCCCTACCTACATATCAAATTAGAAAGAACAATGGATATATCATGGTCCTCGGACTCATTGTTGATATATTCCCATGTTCTATTGCTTTACCCCGAAACCTTGTATCGAAGCTACCCCGCCAGCAGGCCCCGCCAACAACAAACATCAAACACACGCCATGTCCTCCTCAAGGCTCACTGAAAATAATGCGGCGCATTCCCAACCAGCGAGCCGAAAAACAATCGTGGTAGGGATATCTGGACCATCGTCGAGCGGCAAAACGACCCTTGCCCGCCTCCTGCGGACTGTGTTTACCCCAGAATCCAATGGAGCTAGGATTGCAGACTCGGGCGCAATTGAGAAAGAGAGGGCAGACGGAGCTGGCAAGGGTGGAGCTGGGAACAGGGAAGCTGTGAAGGTGTTTATCATTCATGAAGATGACTTTTATAAACCGGATGATCAGTATGTGTTGATGTCTCAATCCCAGCCGGCCCCGGACGTAAATTTTAACCCTTTCATATGGCAGAATGGAGGTACAATACATCCACTTTTTCATATACAATGGGCTGACAATAGCTGAATTTACTCTATGTTTCCGCACATAGAATTCCAGTGACAACCACCTCGTCGGGGAAACGAGTACAGGACTGGGATACCGTCGAAGCACTTGACATCCGACAACTCGTGTCTGCACTCTCCTACGTACGCTCCCGTGGCGTTTTACCACCCCGCTTAAAGAGTAAAGAGGACCTCAATGAAGTCACAGGTTCGGGCGTTGATGAGGATACGATTCGGCGTATTCGCCATCGTGTTACACGGACGATGGAAGCCATACTACTTTCTACGAAATCGGAGCCCGATTCACTGCCCTTATCACTTGGGTTTCTGGAAGGGTTTCTCCTCTATGCGCCACCCGGAGATGAAAAACACCCCCTCCGCGCAGTGCACGATAGTATACAAGTGCCGTTGTTTCTGCCTGCTACCTACTCTGTGCTGAAGAAGCGGAGGGAGGGCAGAACGGGATATGTGACTATTGGCCCTGCGCCTACGCCAAAGTTGGATGAAGATAAATTTAATGATGACGGAAAGAGATCTGCGGAGCCTAGTATGTATGGGATTGGAGATATTGAAGATGACAACGAGCCCATGCCACACCAGAATTTTTGGACGGATCCGCCTGGGTACGTGGATGATATCGTTTGGCCACGGTATATCGCTGATCACCAGTGGCTCCTGCTTCCTGACCCGGGTGTTCCGCGGGGTGAGGATGAGTTGAAGGAGGCCGTAGGAGAAGGTGAGTATATCAAGGAGGATGCGGGGGTTTTGGTGGCGCCGGGGAAAGGAGGGGCTAATATGACCGAGTTGTTGGAGTGGGGAGTGAGGGAGGTTTTGCGGGTGATTGGGCGGGAGATGGAATAAATAGATGGTGAAAACAACTGGCTTGGATGTTTTGGGAAAAATGCTATGCTATGACATTAACAGACCTCAATGCTCAATTCCATTCCATCTGTTGATTTCCCATAAAAATTTTCTCGGCTGTTCACATTGTATGATCGTCCGAGTTTCCCGAGTCGGGCTATCGATCCCGATGATAGGCCCACCACGACTTTGGGAAGTTTTCGAACAACGCTTCCTTGAGAAAAATGACAACCCATGAGCATTTGCTCAAACCAGAAGCATCGCAATCCTGCTTATTACTCAAATTTCTCAAGGGCATTGATGGTTCCTGAAGTAATGTGGAGGACGAGAAGCACTAGACTGAGCGCTAAACTCAAGCTAACAAGTGTTTAAGAAAAGGGGCAGCGCTGACAAGCACAAGCCGAAAATAATGTCGGAAATCTTCTATCACCTCGTATTGAGAGGATCGGATCTCAAGTGATGACCAACGAGAATGGTCCCTTTCAATTTTTATTTTTTTAAAGGCTTGCTTGATTTTCACAAGGCTTCTATTTCTCTCCATTATGTTTCCTATTATTGTTTCGACTCCGCATGGGGATTTTACATTCCCATGTCCACACCATAATTCGATAAAATGAATACACTGTCAAATATCCCGTTTCAAACTGCATCAACGTTGATCCTGCTACTCTTCAGCAATCGGATCCACGCTCAGAAGGAAGATAGACGCCCTCTATCCTCACCTGATTTAGGATGGCGAATCACGACCGAATCTGGGAGCAAGTCTGCTAGTATGTTGAGCCAAACCTCCTGTTCAACCTTGATATTGAGGCATCTTTTCGAATTGGAAGCAGTTAACATGCGGCGGTAGTCCGAGTGGTTTGTGATTTTGGAGACACCTTCACGAAGTCCGGTAGCCATTACACTTGCTGCCCGGAATCTGCGACGACTCCGTGTTTGCTCCCGACAAGTTGTTCGGGCAACACCCTTCTCTTCGCTGATGACACGACCAAGGATTGGTATGTACTGTACATGTCCATGTTAAAACGACAACCACTCCCTAGAAATAGTATAACAGGGAATTTTTTTTTTTTCGTTGTCTAACTCCGTATTTGTGGCAATAGTAAGAACAATATATGCGCTTCGCTTCTCATATACGAAAGTGCACCATCGCAGAATCCGCTCGGAACGCAGCTGGTCTGTAGGTATGGTGAGCTAGGGGACAGCTCACCATGGACAGTGTACAGGAATTTTCCTGAGACTACTGCATTCGGTATGTAGACGCCAGGTCATATCACTCTTTAAAGCATCAGTCTCTAAATGGATCGTGCGCTGACATTCTCTTGTTCCGTTACGGTGCTCAAGCTACTCAATCCACAACAACGGACCCGTCGCCAGCCTCAACAACCACACTACCGCACATGACTAATTCCGGCAGTGGACTCCCAGAACCTCCACCCAACCATAGCAGCAACAAGGCTTGGATAGCTGGCGGAGTCGTTGGAGCAATAGCTATTGCGGCCCTCGTCGGGTTACTGGGATTCTGCATTGCCCGTCGAAGATTACGACAGAAACCAGCATCATCGAAAGATGAAGACACGGTTCCTGTTAACCAGCCTTCGGTTGATGATAAGGATTTTATGTATAAAGCTCACCAGGCGGTGGAATTGCATAATTACGATCGAGCGGAGCTTCATTTTGACCAGAGCCCTGTGGAGCTGAATCATTACGGGAGCAATATAGTGGAAATGCCGACGCAGCAGGATCGGGTCTTTGTGGCGGAATTGGACGGGGGCCCCGTACGGCGGTGATAACAACTTATCTCCCTCTTTGTCCGCCTTACCTTCTCCTACCTCTATGATATCTATACGAATGGAGTTTTGGGATGTAGATGGATGCAGGGGTAGACTCTGTTGCTAAAAAAGAGCATCCTGGTAGCTAAAAATGACCATGAAACGGACTTAGGTTTATGCCAAGAATTCTGCCCTCGATTATGTAACCTCCCGTAGTTGGCTAACTAGTTAGTTAACTAGTTAACTAAGTTAGTCTGCAAAAAAGAGTAAGCAATGAATGGGAATTCTCCTGGACCGCCAAAATTACCATGGAACCAAAAAGCAAACCAGAAAGGAGAAGCACGGTGTGAGAGCGTGAGAAAGCCGCGTGTTCTGCGCTTCTTCCCTTTCCGCGATCGATGGGCTGCGTCAAACCGGCTGCCTATCGGCGTCTCAACCGTCCTCCGAACTGTATCGTTGACGATGCTCTCTCATAAAGGAACAAGGCTTTTTGGCGTGGTTGCCTTCTTTGCCATTTTTCTTTTAATCCTGTCCAGCACACCCTCGACTCAGCTGCGTGAGGCAAAGGCCAAGGCCGGCTCCTATGTCGAGAACCTCTCACCGAACCTCCCGAATCTAGCGAAATTCCCACAACTTCCAAAGCTGCCAGGCCTACCAGATCTCAATAATCTCCGTTTGACCTTCAGTCCTCCTACCCACAAGCCTCCAGAGCAAACAAATAGCACCAGCGGGGAATCGAAGTGGTACAGTGACTGGAAATGGCTGAATCCATTTTCCTCGAGCATCACGTTGGATGAAAACCGCTCTGTCCTCCCGCCCCTGGCCTTGAGGCGGCCCGTATTCACGTACTACAATTCCATGAGCAAGAAACAAAAAGGAGAATTTGAGGCAGATAGACAGTTGCTTTTGACCTGGCGTCGTGCGTGGTGGGCGAAAGGGTTTCGTCCTATAGTCCTGGGACCGTCGGAGGCGGCGAACAACCGTAGATATCGAGCAGTAAAAACGAAAGAACTGAGTCCCGAACTTGAAGCAGATTTTATGAAATGGCTCGCCTGGGGAAATATTGACAGCGGCCTACTTGTGGATTGGAGGTGTTTTCCCATGGCCGAATACGAGGACAGATTATTGGCCTCTCTTCGAGGAGGATCCGCACCGGAACACATTACGCGGTTAGAGAATTTGGGCACGTGCCTATTTTCAGGCGAACGGGGTCTCGTGAACGATGCCATTGAAGCTGCG